TTTTTTTTTTTTTATTTTTTCTCCGACATTTTCTTTAAGATTATTTAAATGATACAATATAATTTGTAGTCTTGTATAGTAAATTATAATAATAAATTAAAATAATAATTAATATTTCTTATTCTATCTTTTCTAGTCACTCCACTCATCCATCTAAGCATTCTTATCTCTGCTACACTCATTTTCTGCTCTACTTTCTTATCAACCACCCAACACTCTGAACCATACATCATAGTTGACCTCATTACAGTCTTGTAGAATTTACCTTTCAGCCTCATTGGAATTCTTATATCGCATATGACGCCAGATGCTTTTCTCCACTTTAACCACCCGCACTTAAATCAGTGTCTTACATCCTCGTCAATACTACCACTCTTTTGCACAACTTACCCGAAATACTTAAAACTCTCCACCTCTCCAATCACGTCCTCGCCTATTGTCACTGAACTCCTCATTTCACCTACTTCGTGTTCTCCTTTGTCAAACTCGTACTCTATATACTCTGTCTTACTTCTAGTTATTCTTAAACCCTTTTCTTCAAGAGCTGATCTCCACACCTCTAGCCTTTAATTAAATTCCTCCCTATTTTCTCCTATTAACATTATATCGTCAGCAAACAACGTGCACCACGGCACCTCTCCTTGTATTTCTCAAGTAATTTCATCCATTACTATAGAGAATAAGTAAGGGCTTAAAGAAGAACCTCGGTGTACTCCTACTCTTACCCGAAAACCTTCTGATATTCCTCTTACGCTTTTTACTCTGGTACAACTGCCATCATACATATCTTCTATTATATTAATGTACCTTTTCGGGACTCCTTTTCTCATTAATGCCCACTTTAAAACCTCTCTCGGTACTCTGTCATACGCTTTCTCTAAATCTGTAAATACCATATACAGCTTTTTCTTTTTTTCCCTAAACTTTTCTATTAGTTGCCTCGAACAAAATACTGGCTCCATTGTTGACTTACCAGGCATAAATCCAAACTAGTTTTTAGATACCGATGTCTCATTTCTTACTCTTATCTATTACCTTTTCCCAAATTTTCATACTATGACTCATAAGCTTTATGTCTCTATAATTTCCACACTCTTGTATGTCTCCTTTACCTTTAAATATCGTCACCACAATACTACTCCTCCATTCATTTGGAATTTTCCCTTCTAATAAGATTTTATTTAAAAGTTCCTTCAACCACCTTATGCCAACACCGCCTAATATTTTCCATACTTCTACTGGCATTTCATCTGGTCCTACTGCTTTATTCTTTTTCATTAATGCCACAGCCTCCCATACCTCTTTCTCACAAATTAAATCTACCGGTCCCTTATTCCACGACATATCCTCTAATGTCTCTTTTGGGTACTCCTCATTCAATAATTTTTCAAAATACTCTTTCCATCTTTTGTTCACATCATCATCACTCATACATTTATATTAAAAACAAAAATTTGAGTTTTAAATTCTACAGAGATATTTTGTTGTTTCACGTTTTTTTTTTAAATTTAAGTTTATTATTAAGGATTAATTCTTAAGTTATAGTCATTTTTTTGTTAATAACATATGTATATATTTTAATTACTTAATAAAGTATAAACTAATATAGCTTGTAAATTTAATATTCAATAAGAAAATAAGTATAATAAAATATGGTAATAGGTAATGAATGATGCTCGAAGGAAATACACAACCACTAAAGGAAAGTTAATATCTAAATGACTCGATAAAACATTATTAAGATAAGAATTACATTATCGTTAAAATTTTAGCTAATAATTGTTTGGTCTATTTTATGACCCAATTAATAAATAATAAATTTTATGGACTTATATAGTTATTGATGAAAGCATGAGTTGAAGTCTGTATTCATATGTACATTGTAAATATAATAATTTATTTATTTATAGGGATTTTTTACCCCTATTGTGTGAACACGCACAGAAAAAAGTAATATATATGTTTTAAATATTACGTCATATATATATAAGTAAAATATGTATACAGGGTGTTCAGTAAGTCATCCTATGTGTAACAACTATTTTGTTGGTATAATAAGATAATAATAAGATGACAATCGGGTTATTGTAGTATCCTTGCACCTCGTAATAAACCTTTTGAAAATTTGTCTTAAGTTTTTTGTGAAAATTATTCATGTATTTGTATGTTTACAACTTTTCCAAACAGTGGCGTTTTTAGGGGTAGACCGTGGCCTAGGGTAGCATTTTTTTCAAATTAAGAACTAGACTTATTAAATTTATTATTATTATGTATTTAATTATTATATTAATTAATAATATAAAAATAAACAATTAAAGTTATAATATAAAATGTATGTAACACTTTATTTTCGAAAATTTAAGTATTGTTTTAAAGTGTATTAATAATTTTTAATTTAACATGTATGCAATTGGAAATACATTTTTTTTATAGTTTGTGTAATTAAATTATTTATATAATTTTAGCGAATTACGTAAACTAAATTCACATCAAGTAAATTAAATGAACAAATTATAAATGTATATAAATTAGTAATAAATTATTGTTATTAAAAAGTAATATATTAATTAAAAATAAATATTTTAATAGTAAAAATCAAGTTGTATAAATTTAATATTCAAAATATTTATTGATGTTATTACAATAAAATGCAATCAATCGTGGAACATAAACATTCATCGAACAATACCTAGAAGGCCGTATACCTAATTGCACAATAAGAATCTGTTTGACGAACGTATACGTTCGACGATCGTGTCCGTTCGAGGAACGTACGGACGATTCAAAAATAGGCCCTTAGATAATTTCAAATTTTAAAGAATACAACCAATCTCAAAAACAGAATGATAATAAACAAAAATTCATTCATCGTTGTATCAATTTTCGGGTGCGTTATAAAAGTTTTATGTGTTTGGTAAAAATACCAATGAAAATGATTTTAAAAGAAGGTGAAAACAGTCAATTTAAAAATTCAAATAATTTTACCTCTTTTATGAAGTGTGCTATAAGAATGTTAATACTAAACATTGACTAGTCTTAACATTAAAACTCTATAGTGTGTTATAATTTATAAGAAAACACTTCTAATATGTTAATATGATTTTTTTATGTAAATAACTTCAGAAAATAATAGCTAATTAAAATTTAAAAAGTATCCTAAGTAATAGCTATGTTATATTTTTATATTTTATTATTAGTTATATATTTTTTATTTTTAAAGAATAATAAAAAGTTGTTTTAATAACAATATAAATATCTAAAATTTATATTTATTTTTACAATTATAGTAACCATTGGTACAAATATTTAAATATAATTATAAAATTTTTAAATTTTAATATTTAATTTATATTGGAAATATTACGTGAAAAAAATTAGTAAATTGTTTTAATTTATCAAATTTTAAATCCTGATATCTTAAAAAATGAAAATTTAACATTTGAAATATTTAATATTGATAGTAGTATTAAAATACCCTTTCATTTTCTTAATAACAAGAAAAATGATTATGTCTGTTTCTATTTTAATTTATTATTATAATTTACTATACAAGACTACAAATTATATTGTATCATTTAAATAATCTTAAAGAAAATGTCGGAGAAAAAATAAAAAAAAAAAAAAAAAAGGTAACACGAGATAATTTTTCTCAATTTTTGAGGGTAATTTCTTCGACTAGATACATTTTGTATTGTTCATAAAAATTGGTCCAGTGAGAGCTGAGATTGAGTGGTAACAGACAAAAAAAAAGCTATCATAGTAATATTAATACCTCCTCAGCTTCGCGTCGAAGCTAAAAATTATAACACAACCAATCTTCACCTAAAATGTAAAACATATTAGTTTTTTTTTTGAATTCAGAATTGGAATAAAAACAAGAAATTATGTAAATTAAGTCTTTAGCAATCAGAGCACGAATTATTTCATTTAAATAAGTATAGAAGTATATATAAAACAATATAATAATTTAAATAAGATTTAGTAATAAACCTAAATAAATTATCTTGATTAGACTGACCGTGTAAATTAATTTCAAAACCAAACAAAATTAGTGTTTTTTTGTCTAAGAGTTTTCATAGTAAGGAGTCCTAATTCATTACTAATATCTTTATAATCTAGTTAAATTTATTTTAAGTACTATTTTCTTTAAGTAGGCCCGAGCTATTCGAATACATCAATGATAACTAAACATTCGCCTTTGCTTTTCTTAACCCTAATCAATTTATATTAATTTGGGTTTTAGTTTTGTGGTGGGGTGTTTGATCAGTAGAGTAAAATTAGGTCTTGAAAAAAGTAGATACATCAGTTTAAATTTATAATTGGTTGATTTTTTTACTTATTTGAATCCATTATTGTTTGCATAATTTACATAACATAGCTATTTGAACGTAAGTATACTTCAGTTAAGATAATTTTATATTAAAATAAAGGATCTTTTAACGATAAAAGTGTGTTGAAGAGAATTTTATTTATTTTTTAAACTAATGAGTTTTAAGCTGTTAGAAAAATTTAGTACTCCTTCCATTTGTCGATAATAATAAAAAATTACTGAAAACAAATTTTTATAAATACAAATTTAGTTATAAATTCAAAAAAATTGTGAAACTATTTATGAATCATCAATCAGCTATTATTATTATTATTAGTTAAAATTATTAAGAATGTAGATAAATCCATTAACATTAAAATTTGTAATTGACCAACTTTTTCACTTATATTTCCTATAATTGTTTATTATACAGTTTTTGTGTTCACACAACATAGCTATTTAAATATAAAATTATTTGATTTAAGATAACTTTATATTAATATATATATTTATTTAATAAAGCAATGTAACAAAGAAAAATAACATAAAATAATAATAACAATAAGCTTGTAAAACATAAGAAAATATTAGGAAGTATAAAAGTGTATTAACAAAAATATCAATTTAATGTGAAAATTAGGAAATTTTATATAAGCCATTTAAGCAATTTCTATCATAAGTAATTATAAAAATAGTTGGCCGGCTATAATTTCTTCTCTGTGTCTTAATCTTACAGAAGGCATAAGACTCGCATTTATAGGAGTTGTGTCTCCACGAGCCATTTTTTCGGCTAGCTCAACCGTAAATGGACCACAATCATATCCATTAGTTTGACGAGTCGTCTCACCGATTTTTAAAGTCCACGACGAAGCTGCTCCCTTTTTATCCATTTCCCAGTCAGTTAGATACTCTTTAAACACCTTAGGATAAGGACCATTATATGACTTAAGACTGTCATATGATGTCACAGTTCTTTCAGGTACGTTAACAACAGTCAATATCCAATGTCCCCCATACACATTCATTGGCACAAAAGGTAATTTTAATGTATGAATATCTTTTTTTATCCATTTTCTGACAGCTGGATAACCTCCTCGAAGATATGCTGGTATAAAATCGGTAACGACGCATGAACTTCGCCATTTGACCTTTTCACTATCAATTTAAGATAATCATTAATTGTATCCGAAGTGTACTAAGATTTAGGCGACTTAAACGAAGGTGCATTATACTGATCGTGAGTATTTGTGTTCTGATCATGCGTTACTTCTACAAGAGTAAACACATTTAAAAACTTCTCATAAATTACTTAAGCTAGCTAAATGGTTTAATATGAGTTAAATTTTTACTAGGTTTTGGAATATAAGATTAAACAGAATTAAACATAATATGTGTTATGGATTTTTCTATGTGAAATAAATATTAAAGAAATTAATAAAAAAAAAATATTAATTTACCTATTTCTTTCTCCGGTATTTCATCAATTTCGACAACGGACACGGCAGGAATGTTAACGTCATTCGTATTTGAAGCCGAAACTTCCGAACTAACTTTCGGCTCTAAAATATTAATGTTTTAAAATAGTGTTTAATTGTTACAATAAACTAATGAAAGGTCAATTTTTTAAAATAGAATTATTGAATACTTTTTATGACTTTTTCATCTTTCTCCGATGAATTTCTTTTCAAATTTGGTCTTACAACAGTGTTACCGGATAACTCTAGGAGTTGTTCTTTTATTCCACATTTTGTGGGTTGTAAATTAATTATTTTTTCTTCTGGAGTTTCTTTTATTTTATCAGTGGACACGTCTGGTAATGTAACGTCATTTGAAGTTATTGAAGGTTCATTATTAGCTTCTAACTCTTTAAGTTTTAAGGGTTTAAAGTATAAAATAATTGTTTCAATAATCGAAATGTAGGTTAAATTTATTATGTACTTTTAATGACTTCATCATGTTCTTCAGATAAGTTACTTTCTATGTAAAGGCGACCAGTATCATTGGACGATACTTCAACGGGTTGCTTTTTTTCTTCGCATTTATTGCGATGCAAGTGATTCTTATGAAAACTCTTAACGTAACATAAGAACATATTAAATTATACGATAAATTTTAGTTCATTTATTTAAAAAATCTACGTTAAGTCAAAAGAAATGTTTAGAGTACATATATACTTTATAAAATATAAAAAAAATGCAGAATAAAATCTACTTTTCCTAATAAATATGCTGGTATTGATGGTGCTTTGTCATTTAGAATTGGTATATAACTTTTTTTTGCAGGAACTGATAGTTTTTCTTTATATTTTCCAGATTTTTCATTCTTAATGAGTGTTGCAATATCTCCTCGCTGTATCAATTTCTAGGCGTAACCAATGATAAATTAAAATGAATAAATGGAATATATTTAATATTTTAATATAATCTTCTATTAAATGTCTTTTTTCTATAAAAATCTTATTGAAAATTAACAAGATTAAAATATTAAAATTGAAATTATTTAACATTTTTTACTGATATATCGAAAAATAATACATTTATACAGCTGCTCTAAATAATTACAAATATTAAATTATTGCTGAATATTGTGAAGGTCGATATATCTATACAATTTTAATTACCACTTTTTCTGCAATAATTTCATCACTTTCAATTTGTTTTCGATAGTTACGTTTTTTTGGTTTAACCGAATTTGTTTCAGGGTTAATATTTCCACCAGAATTTGCTGTAAACAGAATTTTATTTTTAAAGTTATTAATGAAACGAATTTTGAAAATGTTTACGATGAAAAAATGCATTGATGTAGATATTATATCTACTCTGATGTTAATAATTTACTGAAATAATGAATAATATAAAAAAAAATTTTAATTAGATTATAGTACAATAAAAAAATAATTATTATTTATCAAAAAGAGAATAATATTTTTTAATTTGTTGTTATATTTTATATCAAAGCGTTTTCCCGTTTTTTGATAATTAGTTTAATTAATCTTAATAGTGTTTACAGTTATTAATTTCACCTTCGGACTTTTTTGATTTTTGGGGTTCTTCTGAACAATCAACGACTAAATTGGAACTCATGAAACGACGATTCCATAATTCTTCAATTCTGCGTTTCACAACATTCATATTTGTTTCATAAATATGACTTTCCGTATTGTTTTCGTTTGCCATATTAATAATTAGTTAAATAACTCTGAATGCTTACTCGAGATGATAGCTTATTTTTACGGGCAAAAACAAACTGAACTCAAATGTCAACATAGTCAACGTTTATATCTGATTGTCATGGACACTTAATTCATTGAATTCTTATATTATAAGCCACTTAAATATTTCAAAAATAATTGTAAATCATTTAAAGAATTGATTGGAGGTGATGTAAATACCATAGTGGTATAATTATCATTATAATGTTCGTATTATTTCAACAGTTATTTCTATGAATATCGAAAATTTGTATTAATTTATCTTTTATGTTAAAAACTTGACGTCTTACATAATGTGAAAAAAGAGTTAATAATATTACTACAGCTTTTTTTTTTAGTTTTAGGTGACTGTGTCCTTAATGCATTTTTTTAAAGGGTTATTAAAGATAGTGATAATTTTTATTAATCTAAAAATATATAGTATGATTTTTTGTTAAAATTTCAATTAACTTTAAAACGGTTATTTGTTTTAAAAATGATTTTTCGTTAAAAAGTAAATGATTTTAATATTCATTAAGTCTCTTTCAATAATTATATAAAATGAATATTGTAAGAAATCTTAGGATGATTAATCATATCCTTCTTAGATACACCATTTTACTATATAATTGTGTATTAAATGCCAATGGTTTGTAATTAAAAAGTGCATTGTAAATCTAATTAAATTCCGTAGGGTTATACCTTTAGTTAAATAAATTTTTGTGTTCAATTTGATTATTGATCAAATTGAAAAATCAACTTGATAATATAAATATTATTAAAAATAAAAAACAATAGAAACGCTATAAAAATATATTTATACCGCCAATGGAAAGTTATAGTATCACAATTTTTTGATAATATTCCTACTGTTATTTGAAGCAAACTCTTTACGATTATAAATAGCCACTTAACTCAATTAAAACAGACCCCATTCTAACGATTTTATCATTTATGATCTAACTTCCTCTGGCGTTATAAAGCTGACTTTGAACTTTTATAAGTTTACTAATACTAACACGACTTACGTCGCTTACTACTGACGCGTGGCCAAGTCAATACCTAGAGGCCGTGCCTCAAACTACACGATCGCAATGTAATTATTATTATAAGCGGGATTATTATTAAATTAATAAAAATTATTCGTACGCTCAAATTTATGTTTATTATTTTTTTTTATATTTCTCGTTACGCACGGAACGATGTCTCGCGGTGTACTGGTTTTAGATAAAAATACAATATGAGATAAGCATCATTTAGTTTAGCGGCCGTTCGATATAACATAGGCCGCAACATACTGCCTGACATTTTACGCTTTGCTAAAATACAGAATAATTCATAATAAATATAAATAAGAATAAATAACATCAACAATAAATGACAAATAGTAATTGAGAAAAAAAAAATAATAATAACAATAGGATAATAATAAAACGGTAGCACAGTGGGGTCGTGACACAATGGGAACGTGGCATAGTTGGGTCAAGTATAATGATATCTGACAGTGATTAAAAACACTATCATAAGAAACGCTTTGATGCAAATCTGTAGATAGTGTTTAATTTTAAGAGATTAGTAGATTATTTCAAAAGCAACCATAACTCTTATTCCCTTAATTTTATCCCGTTTTATAATTATAATATATGAATACATAATAACTATAGTAATTAAATTTAGTATGAAATTGATATTCAATAATATAATATTGTAATTTTTACGGAGATATTATGGAAATAAAAAGGAGTGTATGTTTATATACTTTTAACGCGTATAAAAATTTAAAGGCATTGATGCAATACTTTTTAATAAAAAAATTTTGTTACTTATGAATAAATACACAAGACTACAAGGAACTTTCATCAGAAACAAATATATACTTGTCTAAATCAACTTTTCGTGATGTTTTCAAATGTGCAAATAATTTTTTCTATTTAATTCTATAACTTTTCCTAAAAAAAAATAATTACGAACACAAAAAAATTTGTTTTAAATTAATACTGATTTTGATTATTAATATGTTAAAAATAAGGGAAATGACATTAATTAAATTTTAATTAATTTTAATTTTTAATTAGATTTTAATTTTTAACCTATTTTTGTAATCGTTTAAAGTTGATTTTTGTGAATGTTTGTAATAAAAAAAAAATTAATTTATTTTATCATAATTTTTAGCTCAATTGGCAAGTTTGAAATTGACATCATTAAATAGAAAATTTTATGAGAATTAAAAAAATTGTATCGTTAAGATTAATATGCAGTTAGGAAGTTTTATAAATACTAAATAGTATTTATTATACTAATTATAAATAAATATTTATAATAAATTTATCAGAATAGCTCAATATTTTTTTTGCATTTTTATCTTAATAGATAACTTAAATAGAAGTAATAGTAATCATTTCCTAATAACTTTTAGTGTTTAAAAAGATTCTGCAATTGAGATATTCAGTACTTAATTAATTTTAATGATTTGCTTTAACTAAATAAACCAATCAAAACAAAGTTGTTAGAAAGATTTACTCGATTGAGCGTATAATAAAATTTGATTATAATTGTAAAAATCCATTAAGAGAAACTAACAATCATTTTTTTTAGATATGATTTATATAGCAACATGTTACCAAAAAATTTGTAATATTATAGTCTAGTAGTAGCACACACAAATAGAGTAAAAAAATTATTAAATTACAAAGTAAAATGATTTAATTTTGTAGTTGAAACCTATCATATCAAACTTGATTCGTCAATAAATACTTTGAAAACATTAGAAATGAATGATTTTAATTGTTTGTATGGAGAACATGGGATAACTAACTGTTTAATTGATAAATTAGAATTTTTTTTTCAATTTTTGAGGGTAATATCTTCAACCTAGACACGAAATGTAGTCATTTGACGTATCGTTGAAAAAAATAGGTCAAGTTAGAGCAGAGAAAATAAATGATAGTCACAAAAAAATATCTTCTCAGCTTTGCATCGAAGCTAAAACTTAAAATATAGTAAAATAATTTTAATATGAATAAAAAATTTCTTCTCGCGAGTGGCGACTACAGTGATGGGATCCTTGATCATTATTCAAGTTATTGAATCTAAATGAGATAAAAATCAAAGCAGTTGAAAATTTATTCTAACTTAAAAAGAATTAAGAAAAAATGCAAAAAGTTTATTGCCATACGAGGGATGGAACCTTGTACCTCAAACGTGTAAAACACAAGTTTTACTAACTCGGCAATCGTACGTTGCTACCGTTGGTAGAATAAATTGGCTATTTAAGCTAGTTCAAATTTCAAAATTAATTTTCTCGACTTCAAAAATCAAAAAAATTTAAATAAACTTAACTTTCTATACTATATTAATTTTTTATTTATATAATATTTATGAAATCTGTACTCCCCTTGTCAGGTATTTTAAAATAAAATAAAATACAAAATTCAGAATTTTAACACAAAAATAGCTTATTTTTGAATACGGTAGTCATTTTTACTATGAAGACAAATCCAGAGGTCAAATTTTTATTTTCAAATAAAAGTATATTACATAAGCTTTAATTTAAGATATATATAAAAGTGTCAGTCTTTCCGGAACATTTTCAAAAGTTAAGTTGAAAAAGTTCTNAATTTAAGATATATATAAAAGTGTCAGTCTTTCCGGAACATTTTCAAAAGTTAAGTTGAAATAGTTAATTTTTTGTGAAAAACTTGTCATTTTAACTCCCCCCTGTGGGCTTGTAAAGGGTTAAATGTTCACAAAAATATATAAAATGATAGGTAAATACCTAAGGTATCTATAAAAAAAAATTATATTGATTTGGTCATTTTTAAAAAAGTTATGGCAATTTTAAGTAATAAAAATTGAAAAATTGTCGAAAATTAGCGATTTTTTAATTTTTAATTTTTTGTGGGATTTCCCCGTTTACAGGGAACGAGGGAATTTTTTTCAAATGATGAGGTTAATGTCTTCGACTAGATACGATTTGTGATCTTTTGACATATTTTTCATCAAAATCGGTCCAGCGAGAGCTGAGATTGAGTGTTCACAGACACAAAAAAAAAAAATAATAAAAAGAATAAAAAAAACACATCATAGTAAAATTAATACCTTTTCAGCTTCGCATCGAAGCTAAAATAAATAGTAATAACAACTATATAATATATGTACAAGCGACAAAAAAAAATAAAAAAAAAAAATCTATATATACATACATACATTTATAATTTTATTATAGCTGATCTTCTTGTGTTGGTAACGGACACAATAAACGAACTGACCGCTTTATCTCACCTTTTACAGTTTATACCCATACTATCCGTGTTATGCCGTCGTTTCCTGGCACTAATTTCACAATGCGTACCAGACTCCATTGTAGTGGTGAAAAATTGCTCTCTTTGATCAACACCATTGTGCCTACTTTTGGACTGCATCCTGTAGCCTTAGATCACTTTGCTCTGCATTATAATTGTGAAAGATATTCAGACTTCCATTGTTTCTAAATTTGCTGAACCATTTGAGTAACTCGATGCCACCTGCGTAATCTATTTGGCGTAGTTGTTATCAGTTTCGGCTCAGGTGGCTCATTCAACCAACCGTTATCTAAGAAATGAGTGGACATAAGAGTATTTAAGTCAGAGGGGTCCGTCGATAATGGAGTATATGGGCGTGAGATTAAGCATGCTTCCACTCTAACTAGACCAGTGTTTAGTTCTTCATACGTTAGAGTGGCTTCGCCAAATGATCTTTTAAAATGGGTTTTAATTGATTTGACAGCACTTTCCCACAGACCGCCAAAATGTGGACTGCGGGCAGGAATAAAATGCCAACTTACTACCATTTCATTAACGATACTTTGTGTTGTTCTGTTTTGAATAATACTTCTAGCTCTTTTAATTTGTTGTTAGCTCCTATGAAGTTCATTGCATTATCCGAGTATAGATATCGACCTACTCCTCGCCAACTCCAAAATCTTCGCAATGCACCCAAAAATGATTCCGTGGTAAGATCACTCACCAGTTCAATATGGGTAGCTCGAACTGCTACTAAAAGAGACTGTGGGCAAGCGTGCATCAAGCAGATATGTTTGTGCTCGAAGATTAATTTAGTTATATTTGATTTAGCCGGGAGAACTATTGGATTCTTCTTACTGTACGAAAGCGACGTAGCATTGTTTAGACGCCCTCCAACGCGAATTACACCGTTTTCATCTAGTAATGGATTAAGAAAATATAATTTACTGTTCGGTTTGACTATTTCTTTACATCTTAATTTTATTAAATCCTCTTTAAAATACAAATGTTGAACAATATTTAATAAAGTCGTTTTCGCGTTGTTTACAGGGCCGGATTTAACGGAGGGTTTTAAGGGCACTTGCCCCGGGCAGCAGATGTTTGGGGGCAACCGGATGCCGAATACTATAAAAAAATTTTAAACTTTTTAACCCTCGGCTTATGAAAAAATCAACTTTAAAAAATAAATATTGTTTTGTATTTATATAATTTTGGCTGCAAAATTAATACCGATATACGTCATATGATAACATTATGACATTGGGGCATACAGCACACATTGACCCCCTTACAAGGCATAAGGGATGAACTTAAAAAGTATTACATATTTAATAATTCAAGAATAATGTGTAACTAAAGATAACAAAAAAAAAAATGTTTAAATATATTTATTCTGTAAGTAATTGAGTGGGTTATGATAAAAAAATCACTCTGTATATGTTCATTTGTGATTTAAATATTGTCTACTCTCGTTACTTATTGGATATACCATTAGCCGTCATCTTCTAGGTGATCCACTCCCGCATCTATAATAATGATTTAAACAGGTTTAAGGTAAAACGGTATTCTAGTGCGGTGCACAACTAGCTGTCCTACGGTCTAGCTGCCTCGTACAAAACAACAATGAATATTTTCAAAATCAATTTTAATTTTATTTCATCATAATTCTGATTTTTAATATTGATTTAAATTTTTTTTTTTTGGTTTCGAATTTATAATCAAATATAGGGAATTCGAATTTCAAACTATGAAAAGAGTTCAGGCAAGTGGCGTTGCTAACCGAAAATTAAAAAAGCAAAAAGAAGAAAAAATTGAAAATGAAATTAAAAAAACAAAATGCATACCTAGTTTTTTAAGTCAGACTTATTACAAAGCGAAAATAAAGCTTCTGATACTTCTGAGACAATTATTAATCCGACATTCATGAATGATACTAGTATTGAAAAATCAACAAACATTAATGATACTAGTGCTGAAAAAATAGAATCTTTGAATGTCGAAATATTTACAACAGATTCTCAAATTTGTGAAAATGTTTCTGTCATGCTTAATGAAGAAAATTCAAATTATGTGGACAGTGTTTCGCATCTTGTTAAATTTAATCAAATACCCTATTCTCTTCAAATTCAAGATACTTCTGAAACAGAGACAACTCAAAATTCTCCAATTGAAATGATGACTGATATTGGATTATGGCCTGAAAATATGTCAACATATGTAGATTATTGGATTAACAAAGATATTATACATTTACAAAATTGCAATGAAGAGCTAATTAAAAAAAAATCTTTGGTGCAAAAAAATAGTACTGGTAAATGGACTCGTAAGTGTAACACTGGAATGTTTAAGCGAAAATGTAAAAATGGTGACTTAATTAAACGATCATGGTTATGCTTTTCCCCTTCCAAAGCCACCTTTTCTGTTCAATATGTAAATTATGTCATCAACTACATTGCGTACACAGTTTAACACAGAAGGATTTTTCAACTGGAAAAATTCTAACGAACAACTTCTCGAACATGAGACTTCAAAGAATCATCTCAATGCATTTATAGCGTTTAAAGATCGTTCAGTTATTCTAGGTCGTATTGATGCTGAACTTCAAAAACAAATGAGTGAAGAAAAATTTTATTGGAAAAAGGTTTTGACTAGACTTGTAAGTGTTATCAAGTTTTTATGCAAGTGTGGGTTGGCTTTACGACGAGATAATGAGATTATTGGATCTCAAAGTAATGGGAACTATCTTGGTTTGCTAGAATTTATTGCCGAATATGACGAGTTTTTAAAAAAACATATTCAAGAAACCGGTAATTGTGGAAGTGGCAATACTAATTATTTATCCTCAACTATTTGTGAAGAACTAAATGTATGCGATATCAAGTATTCAACACCATAATTTCGCGCATAAAAAAATCAAAGTACTATTCCATATCTATAGATTCATCGCCTGACTAAGGTCATGTTGATCAACTAACCATAATTTTTCGATTTATGGAAGGCCCTAATCCTGTTGAAAGATTTTTAAAGTTTTTGCCAAATCAAGGACATAAGGCTCAAGAAATGTTTGATGGTATAATGAAATTTTTTGAAGAATGTAATTTAGNATGAAGTTTTTTGAAGAATGTAATTTAGGCATAAAAAATTGTCGAGGTCAATCTTATGACAATGCGTCAGCTATGAGTAGGAAATATAATGTTCTTCAAAGCAAAATAATTGCTGAAAACAGTTTAGCTACGTGGGTTCCTTGTGCTGCCACCCATTCTTTAAACTTAGTAGGTAATAATGGTAACTAATTGTAGTGGTGAACGCTCTTTTTCAAGGTTGAAGATCATTCAAAATAGATTAAGGACTTCAATGCATGAAGGGAGATTAAATTTTTTATCTATTATGAGCATTGAAAATGATGTACTAATTTTTTTAACATTTGATGAAGTTATAGAAGACTGCAGGAAAAAAATCAAGAAAAGTACCAAATTTATAAAAATATATTTTTATTTAACATTTTTGATTTAAATAATTTTGATTGTACTATTTACTACCTACTGCCAATAAAAATTTTAAAGTATTAAATTTAATTAAACTTTTATTGTAATTTATAATTAATGTAGCTGTTATGGAGGTTGAATTTAAAAATTTTAATAAATTAAATTGTAAGATTATTATATTTATTTTTACTCTTCAAATTATGAAGGTTTAATAAATTTATTGTAATATTGCTATCTTTAAATGAATTTTGAAATTTGTGTTACATGAACAGCAGTGTTTCAAACTTGAAATAAACACGTTTTAGTTATTAAGTGCAAGTTTAGGAATTTTAAAACTTTTATCCTTAACTAATTCGATAATGAGTATTTTTTTATTATTTTACTGTTAGGGGCCTCAAAAAAAAATTTGCCCCGGGCATCCAAAAGTTTAAATCCGGCCCTGGTTGTTTAGCTCATTTAATTCAATTTCAACCGCTATTTTTATTTTTTCAATGACGCGCCTTTTCCGCCGTAATAGGTAAGTGGTAACGCGTATTAATTTTATAAAACAAGAAAATTTATTTAGTAGAAAATATTCCTTTTTGTTCGACGGTATTCTTAAAAATACCTGTCTTTCCTCAGTTGCTCCAATGTCGATTTTTTCTGGACTTGATGGCCAGACGTTTTCGTCTAGATTAATCCTTGCCGGACCATTCCACCACAATTCGTTGTTGCGTAATTTATTTGATTGACAGCTGATACGATCACATTCCTTTGGCGGTGCAGTAAAAACGCAAGTTAGAATTTAAATAAAAAACCACTTATGGCTTTTAATTCAAAGACCAAAGTTACTCCCCCAGAGGTATCGGAGCCTCAGGGGGTGACAGGAATGAGTGGAAAAGGTTCCAAAACCGTACCCAACTTAGTGGGCTCACTCCGGTCGTCACCAAGCGACCACGAAGTCCAACGCGTGGGCCTTTTATTGCTACTGGTGCAGTGCGGAGGAGAAGCCGCAAGAAGAAGAAGTGGGTTGGATGATGCGATCATTAACGGAGGACGACGTTAATAAACGGAGGACTTCGAATAGATGATCGACGACTGGAAGGTTTATTCCTCTTGGAAAAAGATTAAACCGTGGTACGAGCGCCTACCTTACTTGCGCATGAATAGCAGGAAGGACAGCGAAAACAATTTCTCTATAGGTCGCTTCATTGTAGAAACCGATTTATAGGGTGATAGAAGTTTTGCGTCCCCTGGCAAAACAACAAGCGGAAATAGTAGATGATCATGTAGCTAGCGATGAGGAGGCCATCACGAGAGATGTTTCGTTTGAAGAGGACCTGGTAGATCGGAGTACCAAAACTTTCGATGAGGACGAGGCGCATAGTATTAAATGAAAGGAGATGTCGCCAGCAAGTCCGGAGGGAGAGGTTCTAGATATGGACCACTCACCTGCTGCAGCACTCTTACCGCAGGTGACGCCAAGGATGTCATTGCAAGCAAAGCGGCGGAGGAAGTATGCCGATGAGGACATAGCTGCCCTTGAAAAAGCATTGGCCAAGCATAGACAGATCCTTGCGGATATGCGCACTTTAGTCGCCGCTAACCGCAACGTCCATGTGGGCATGAAAAATTGGACCACGCAGCTAGGAAAAGATCACACAGATAGTAGGCCTTTTGGAACCACTACGAGAGAACGTGTGCGAGTCGGACGGAGGACTTCCTGGTTCACCTACCTATGAAAGCGGAAGAACGGGTATTGAGTCTGAGGTGACGACCACACTGCCAAAGCCGCGTATATCAATGAATCCGTCAAAACAGGGCCGTGGGACCCACGACTGAAAAAGAAGAAGAATCGGAGGGGACTAGGAGAACAACGTGAGCTCGATAACCCCCCTCATCAGTTGCGATACAACAGGGGATTGAGCCCCGTCCAGCTGTAGCGTCACGGAGGAAAGCGCGGGAGCGGCCGCTCGCAGCTCCCTCCCCGACGGAGGAAAAGGTAAAGCTGACGACTAAAGCCAAGCTCTTACCTACGCTTAGTCAAAGGGTGAGGCAAGCTGTTACCTCAAAACCGGAAGCCGTACTGGTGAAGCTCAAGGGTGATCGGTCTTACGCAGAAGTCGCGAGAAAACTCATCCAGGCATATCCAGGCGTAGACATCCAGGCCCTTCAAGAAAACCAGACAGGGTGACATTGAGCTACGAGTTCCGAGAGGACAATTCGAGCTCGCTGTAGCCGCACGGAGCGCTTTGGGAGATGTTGTGGTGGTGACCACCATCGGGAAACCTGTGGAGATTACCATACAGGACATTGCACCGGAGACCACGATGGAAGACGTCGGCCAGGCGCTTCGGCAGGCGCAGGAGGCCGAGAACGTAGAGATAGTCCGGGTGGTCACTGGATTCGGTGGCAGCCTCACAACTGTTGCTCGGGTCTCTCGGACATTCGGACTACATTTAGACCGAGTCGGACGGGTGCTCGTTGGCCTGGTGCGCTGCCGGGTTAGACTCCGGTTTTGTCTAGAGCGGTGCTTCCGGTGTCATGGGTATGGCCACTTCACTCGGGAATGCAATGGGCCTAACAGATCGTCCCTTTGCTTGTCATGCGATGCGGCGGATTACCGTGTGAGCAATTCCACGGCTCCACCACACTGTGCTTTGTGAGGGGTGGTCCGGGGGTTCGGCGCATTTTCTGGGCATTACCTGAGTACAAGTTATACTTTTAAATATGCATTGACTTATTGCATCAAACGGGGAAAGAATCCAATATCACGCTGTCTTATTGTAAAAAAAATAAATTTTGGACCTGTGTATAAAAAGACAGAATGGTAATAATTAATTATCAAAGTGATTAAATGTGACGATTTTGGTAATAGTAACAGATGTGTAGCTTTTTTAGGTACCAAAGAGCACCACAATCGTCCACCAATGAGTAACAATCCATCTGCGTCTAAATTGTAGCGAGTTGAGCTATGGACGGCGGTTTGATTGTAGCATTTTGTTTTGACAATATTTTTAACAAACTAACAAAATAGGTTATTGCGTTAGACAAATAGTAACATGAATCACACAAAATTGTTCAATCAATATAATCGTACCTGTATTACATTTTCTAACTATACCAATAAAACGAAAACTCTATGAAATCGAATGCTGTATTTTTGTTAATGATAAGAAACAATAGATAATCATCAGATAATGTTTCGTGGATAATAAGCGATACGTGTTTTACGTCAAGCAAATCGGCAGTGTACAAGAGCATAAATTTCGAGTCCCAGCCATTCACTTTTAGATAGATGTAAAAATAATGGACCGTTTTAATGAACATTGCCCTGTACCATTGCATCAGATAGATTGCGAGACGAAGGATGAGCTTTATTCTCGGCTGTACTAACATGCAACCAATTGCAATCTGCTGTCAATTGATGAATTGACTAATGGATTTCCCTTCACACTACATGTTGTAGGTACTTAGTGAAAATATTTATAATCAAAATATAGAGGGCGATAGACAGTTAATTATTCCAATAAGATTCAAAATAAAATTAGTAAAAATTGAAATATAAACAATAATACTTTATCCTTTTGCGAAAACTAATGTGGGTTTGAGATTTGCTTTAATCAAAGAAGTCCTACGTAGGATTTGTTTTTTGAAATATATTTTATATCAGCAAATTTATAATACACATAAGTAGCCAACAATATTCGAAAAATTCAAAAGTAAGTTTATTTTAACAAAATGTTTATTTACACTATAAATATTATACTAAGAAAAATTGGCAACTTGTATTAAAAAAAATATTACCAAAATAGTCTCTTTAATATTTAAAAATAAAATATTCCTAATATAAAATACTTTCCATAGTTATAATTTCAAACTAATTATTCTTTAACAACATATTTACTATGTATAAGTTAACATCTTTTGCATAGGGACTCAATGTATATGACTGATGGGTAAATACTTCTGTGATAAAGTGAACGTCAATAACATTAGGAAGTTGTTTGGCTAGCCATTGATTATCCTGAAATAAATATAAGTTATAATTTAAAGCAAATGCAAAACTAATTGTCAATAATTGATTATAATACATTTTAATTTAAAAAATTTGTTTTTTTAAAACTTGGCGATATTAAAATTTTATGTTAAAGTAAACTGATGTAAAAGTGTGCACTTTTTTTTCTATCATATATAACTTGAAGTATAATCTAGTTACAAACAATTTTAATTTATTTTAGCTAAATAAACTATCTGAAAATACAGTTCAATATTAATTATGAGATAAGAACTCCATTTATCAAGTAATGAAATAAAACAAAATGAAAAATAAAAGCATATACTAACTCTATTAATGAAGTAAGACTTCAGTTATTATTGAGTTAAAATTGGAGTAAATTTAATTAAATTAACTGTCAAAGTTATATTAAATAGTGTATAAATCTTATATATCTTAAAATAAATATAAAATTTATTATTTTAGAGCTACGTTGGACAATAACCAAATCAAATTTTTTACTTTAAAATTTATGCTAAAAGTCGTATGAAAAAATAAAAATATCACTACTCAATATTGATTAATAAAAACATTCTAACTAAGTCACAATTTAAGTCTTATAAAATTATTTTCTGAACTTATAATATTATTCTTAAAAAGTGATAAATATATTATAATAGTATGAACGTTTTATCTTCAAAGCGAAATTGAGAAGGTATTATTTTACCATGAATTTTTTTAAAAACACTGATCTTAATGAAATTTCAATATAATATACAATAGGCAATATGATTTTTTTGATATAAATTTTTTTAAAAATTTAATGGAAAACCTAAGTATTTGAAGAGTATCAAAGGGAATACCCACGCACGTAAATTTTTTTTCAACTTGATTGTTAAAAATGTTCCAAAAAATTCTATTCATATCTTTCTATTAAATAAAATCACAAAAAAGTTAATTAACTTGAAAGTACTTGGATTTACCTTTGGTGTTGATACTGCATCATATTTGGAATGAACAATGATTGTTGGTACTTCAACTTTAGATATGTTGTAAACTGGTGGCTTAGATGAGTTGTAATGTTTGAAGTTTTCAACTTTACCGTAATCAAATTTAAAGAATTCGTCTAAAAGAGTTATAAAGTTTATTCTTCTGTTTTCTAGAGTACTAGATAAAACCGTAGTTGTTCCAATTTTATAATAAACTCAGGCCCGGATAAAGTGGAACAAAAGATAGTGACCGCGTCAAAGCCCATCAAAAATTATACTAGCCTATCATAATGACATACAGTTTTTCTGGATTCTTTCTTTTTTTTGCTTATACGTTTTTATTATGGTAGCGATATAAAGATATTATTATCTTTTTAGTGCCGAGGGATAATTATCTTAGCTTTCCATTAGATAAATGATATTACAGTTTTTTTTAGTAACATTTGCAATAAATTTTTAACACAAGTAAATTTAGTATGGTATTTAAAATTTTTACATTCAGTTAACTAATGATACATAATAAACTAAACAAAGTTATTAATTAATAAATATGTGTGTTAACAAGACAAAACAAAATGATAATAAAATTCAAATAATAATTTTAATACTTTTTAACAACCATAAAAATTAATCATCAAATCATTAAACAAATTTTTATCTTTACAAGTATCAAAAATGATATTAGATATTTTTTAGACTCGCAATCATAAAATTTTTAAGTTAACCCCGGAGGTGAAAATTATTAATTAAAAGCCTATTACGACAATTAAAGAAGTTTACTTGTTTTCAAAACTTACATTTGTACCGAGATTTACTGTAGACATTTCTTTAGAATAAAGCTATTAACTAAATATACTGTGTTCAAAATCAATTAGACATTCATTTTCTCAAAGACTATGGAAAATTTTACTGTTTTATAAAGAGAAAAATTATTTTGTTAATAATATGATAATATATTAATAATAATATGAGGGGAAATTTTTTTTTTATTACTTCAGGCTTAAAAACTTTAAATTTAATTTTCTTAAATAGCGTAGAATGGTCTAAACTACAATTCACTGATTATGGAATATGTCATTATAGAAATTAATTATTCAAAATTTTAAAAATAATTAAGATCTGCTATGTAATATTAAAAATATCAATAAAATATTTAATGATAAGTAACTAGAAAAAAAAACGAATTTTGAAAATTGGTAGAGCACATTTTCTAAGTACAGTAATGATTAGATTTTATAATAAAAATAATACTAACTTTGATTTTTTTTCAATTCATTAGCTAAATTAAATATTATTTAAATGCTATCATTATTATTATATTTTAAAATTATACACTAGCCCTTAAGGCGTTACATTAAATAAATGAATAAATAAAAAAAAATTACCAACAACTTTATTCTTACAAGTTTTTATCCAATCAACCATTTCACTTTTAAACGTGTTAAATTAATTTAATTCTATTGTCATTTCACTGTTTCAAAAATAGTAGTTTATGTTATTCTTTGCTTTCACATAAAATAATTCTTATTAACTAAGAGATGACAAATAAAATAGCAGAATAGAATGTTAAGATTAAATAGATTTCCTACCATAATTAATAATTTATGGGCTATCGAATAAGATTTTACAGGACTTCAAATAAACTTTATTATTTACAGATTTCATTTAATTTTTATAAGGAATTTTGACATTGATTCTGAATTTGTCTTCATATTTTTTCTGTCACATTTTGTGTTTGAGATAATTATTAAATAGTAATTAAACGAAAATAACACAATAAAATCATCATAAAAATGTATAATTTTTTTTTTATTTCCCTAAAATGATTTCATGGTGTTTAATTAACTGTTGTGTAAAATTCGATACTGCTTACTACTGTTTTTATTAATCTATCAATGTCATTGAAAAAAAAACTGAATTTTTGAGAATAATTTTTTTTTTGGTTTAACTTACTATAATTATGAAACTTCAACCAAGAAATAGATATTTTGTAAGGATTTAAAAAAGGATTAACTATGTATGTTTTGAGTAAATTTAAAGCTAAAAAATTGCTGTTAATATAAAAAATACTGGAAAATCTCGATTATTCATAACAAATATTGTTGTTACCTATAACTAAAAAGGAGTATTTAGATTCTATATATGATAATTATATAGTTAATTATTAATATAATTACAAAGAAAGTTTTGTAAGCGATTTGTTGAACACGCATTGATATTTTATTCATTTACACGTCAACTTACCTAGTAATCTAGTAATAATCGTCAGACATAGATTTTTACAATTTTAGAAGAATAATATTTAGAGGTGGCTAAAGGAGTAAGTGCTCACTTCTCCTAGAAAATCAGGTCACAACCAATATTCTATTGTAGAGTTTTTAAATTTAATATTTTTCCTCTTTACAAAAGTTAAAAACTTTTACATTTTATTACAAAATGAATGTCTTACCTGATCGATTACTCGATATATTGCCATTTCTATTCATAAACCACATCACTCGATTTTTGGAATTTTTACGTAGAAATAAACTATTAATTATATTTTATAGCTAATAATGGAAATAGGTTTTTTAATACATGATTATCACCCGAAAAATTGAAGATATTTCTTTAAATAATATAAAAAATTGTTTAAAATAATCCCCAAAAAAATTTAGAAATTTTAAAAAATTAATAACTAATGCAAATGTAACTATTTACTTTTGAAATACTTTACACAAATATTTTACAAAATGGGAAAACTAAATTTTGTCTCATTAAAAAGAAAATCGACTAACTTATACTTATATTTATCTGATTGTTGCAGTAAACTCTTTAATTTTCATAATTGTAGGAAATACTGGGAAATAGTTTAAGAATGGGGTAAAATGAAACAAACGTGTTGAATATTTAATATTTTTGAAACTGTAGTTTGACTTTGTGCCTGACAAATCTATATAACTTACAAAATTTCTATAGCTATGTCGCTATAATATGTAAATTTCCATACAAAATTACAATTTTATCACAAAAAAAAAATAAATTAATCATAAATTTAATCATTTAATCATGGTTAATGTCTTATTTAAAAGCTATAACTTGTACCAGAGAGGGTGGGATAACCTTAAGGGTAATATAATCGAACCCCGTATTTACGAAATGAGACAAGACGTGTTTCCAATTGAGCTAGGTAGGTTGCCTAAAATAATTTATCACTTTTTGTTTTTTATAACCAAATCGTCATTAATCAGTTAATTGGAAATTAGTTGAAGTGGATTAACTTTGCATAGTATGAAATATAGTAAAAATATGATGACAACTGTTTATGGAGATATTATCGTTATTCTTAAATAAAAAAAGTATTCCAACTATTTCCAAACTCTCGTTATGGTATTTAATCATATTGCTATTTTGATGAAGTTATAAAATTTTATTTATAGATAATTTTATTAAATTAATATTTAAAGGGTAATATGTGTCTTAAAATTTCACTTACCATTAAATGCAAGCTGAAAAAAATGCTTTACTAATTTCATTGACGAAGGTTGAGGAAACACTTTTAAAATGATAGGAGATTCCTAAATTTTGATTCATTATTTAACATTAATTCATAAAGCATTAAACAATTTTTATATAAAAATCTATTACTTTAATTGTTGGAGATTTTGAGGTTTCAATATGATAATACATAGCTAAACATAGCTTTTTGATTAATTTATAATTACAAATTATACCTCCGATTTGTTCATCCGGATTACTAACTCTTGGTAAGTAATTTAATTTGGCCACTGAATTCTTTGAAAATTAAAATGTGGTTTTATTTATATATCTTTTAGAGTAATAAAATAATTACCAAAATAAATGGTGGCATTTTTTTTGCTGGGGCGAATCTTGGATGTAAGTTCTTCATTCTGGTCGCAGGCGCCATTAATAATAATCGATCAACTTTTTTGTTATACTCTGGTCTTTCTGATAATCCAATTAAAGCTAATGTTCCTCCTAAAGAATATCCTCCTAAGTCAATCTTATTATACCCAGTTTTTTCCAGAACGTAGTCAATGCTTTGGATCATATCGTTTAAAGCCAAATCGTCAAAACTTTAAAGTAATTATACTTACTTAGTAAAAAAATACAAATTAAGTAAACATTTTTAGTTAAAATTTTAAAATAAAACATTTAAAATAAATAAAGTGAATATATCATGAATTTGTATTTGACTTTTTAAAAACTTTTAAGCAAAAATATACAATAGTCAACCTAATTGATTTCTATATCCATTTCAAGTACATAAAAATAATGTAAAAATTGACTAATGCTTTCTTCACTTATATCAACTAATTAATATGTATATGGTTAATTTACATAAATAAAACATATAAAGCCTTACTCAAAATTCCAAGACGCACTGGCCAATTTCATTATTTTTCCAGTCTTAGGATGTTTTAGGTGCTTAGATATACCTGTTAATCTATAATTCAGCATCCAAACATCAAAACCCGCATCCGCCAACATAAAACCTATATCAATCAAAATATAATGTTCAACAAAACCATTTCCAATGAGTAATCTAGTTTTAAAATTATAGACATTTCATACATATCTAAACTATACATTTTTTATGATTCATATTATTATGTATTTCTGTTATATTATAGAAAATCTTTATTTGTGATTTCTAATATTTTTTAGCTTTGATGTGTAGCTGAGAAGATATTGATTTATTTGTATTAATTTTTACTTTGTCTGCAAAGTAAAAATACTTCACTCCTACTGAATAGACTTTTATCAAAGATACGTTAAAAGATCCCAAATTGTATTTAGTTGAATTTATTAGCACTATTGTTTAAAAAAATTCTCTAACTCCCATAATAGAAAAAATGCTCCGAAAATTACAATTGTTATAAAACGGTCAATACTTTTCACTTTAGATGTAAATAACGTTTTCAAAAACTATTAAACCTCAAATCTGAATTTTATCAGTTTTATCATATTAACATAATTATATATCTATTAGATCATTTAAAAAAAATCTAATCAAAACCTGAAGTACAAGAACGGTTTAAAAGCAATAACTTATGCGCAGTTCTTTTTTTCCTTAAAATTCAATAATGTTTCACGTAACTGCGTTTTTTAATTTTAAACTAAACTTTTTTTATGTAATAGAAGTAAATTAAAATTTTTATTCTTTTTTTCTAATTATTCTTTATAAATAATCACATTAAAGCGTTTTAGGGTAGTGATGGTAATCATTATCAAATTTCAATACAATTATGCTGAATCCTCCCTATACTGGGTCCCCACTGTATAACTAAATTTTTTTCGTTGTCCTCATCAAAGAAGAACATATCATAATCTCTTTTCATCATTTTTTTTAATCATCAATTAAATTAGAAAAGTGAAACATCAATTAATATAATTATATTTTATATTTTAAATACCTACTTAGTGAATTATTAACTAGCGTAAACTGTATTGAACTCCCAAATAAACCATGTAATAGAATTATAGCTTTTCCAATTGTTCTATTGCTATTTTTTCCATGAGGAATACGTTCCAAACCTACTACATAATTGTCTTTGGTAAGAATCTGATGAATTTCTATTGGATAACCATAACCAATGACTAAATCGGCCTATTTTTTAAACATATAATAAAAAATATCAAAAGTAATTAATTATTCTTAATTATTTATCAATTATAGAATGCGGCCTGCCTAGATCAGTCGGTAACACGTCGTGTTCCGATGCAAAGGATTGATTCCGTTGAACTGGATTATGTAAGTTTTCCTGTCTTCACTAGCACAAAAAATAATTTTCAGAAAGGATAATAGTAACAATTAGTTCTTGGCATTAAAGTACTCATGATGACGGCGGGTATAGGATTTAAAATGATGTCAAATAAGATATAAGCCACCCGGGTCACTAGATTTTACCACTCTATGGAAAACTCATAATTTTTTTTTAAGTAAGTAAAACAGGTCTTCAATTTTGTAAATCCATATATCTTTACACTAATAATACTGTTAGTATTATTCGGGACACATGCAATCAATGCCTCTTTTGATTGTGACATAACTTATGCTAACAATAATAATCTTATGCCGCATAAAATATTTTACCTTTGGCATGAAGTCTATCTATATCATTTTATTTTAGTGTCTACTAGACTGAAATAGTTAAATAATATAATACCGTCAAAATTATGAATTGTTAGTCATATAACTTTGATTAAAAAAGTCAATAAAAATTAAAACACATGAACTAATAAATGCTAATTATTTCAATTAGTGGTAAATTTTGTTTTCCGTTGTAAAAGAAAGTTAAAATTTAAAATCTGCCTATAAGGATGTGTAACAAATATTATGTACAATAAAATCTATTTTTTTTTTTTTTGAGAAATTAGTTAATTATTTTTGAGTATTTTACACATAGTTTCTGGTAATACACATTTTTACTACAGCATTATAATTGTAAAATTCACCAACGGATTATCAGTACTCGTTTACATTCGACAGTTGTCGTATTTTTCCATTGATCTATAAGGTCAATCATTAGTTTATAAGATCTATAGATTTTTCACAAAATATCAATTGATTAAAAAAAAAATATGTCTCATGTTAATATTTTGCTTCATTAGTTTTTTAATAATTGTTATACGTTAGGACTATAACAATAATACAATATATAATAATATTATTATTTATTAAAAAAAAACATCTTTTTTAAATATTCGAAACATCTAAACAAAAATTTTGTAAATTAAACTCATACAAATTAAAATTTTAAATATTACAGAAATATTAATACTGAACATTAATACGATATATCTTGAAATTTGATTTATATTTTTGTAAATTAAAAAAAAATTAATTTTAATTAAGTTTTAATTTAAAAATTTAATTTTTAAATTTAATTTTATTAAAATTAACTCTTGTCAGTACACACACACACAAAAATATTGGAGTTATTTTAACTAAAACCCACGATTTTAGATAATCTAGGGTGGAATAATATATTTTAGAATGTACGTGAACTACGCCGTTGAATTGAATCCATTATGTTGAATATTGATACACTTCAAAATAATATATATAAAAGTTAGAGTAAATAAAAATATCAAGTTTCTTATTTTAAATTCTAACGGGTTTAGATTAATTTGAATTCAAGTTTACCTACAACCAATATCCTCAAAACAATAAATTCGCAAATCACAATAACTCTATAAACTATTGTTATTTTCTTCCCGTAAATATAATTAAAGGCAACACTCTTTTAGTGCTAGGTAAATATATACGTGCAATTGTGTATGACTACAACCGCACGTGGAGTTAATAAAACTATCCATTTTTGTGTGTATACATTCTGGACTATTTTGTGTAGTTTTAGAAAAAAAGTTGTCGTTAGTAATAATTTGTAAAGTCCAAATTATTTTTATTTTATTTAGTTTAATCGAGTACAAATTATTCCAAATTAAGTAATGTTAAAGCCGTGTAAACATTTCCATCTTCATAAAAATAATATTTTTTAATATAAAAATTAATTATAACTTACTGTCTGAAGAGATTCGAGGAGGTATTGAAAATTATTTACTATAATGAAAAAAATTAATAAATAAATAAATAATCTATTCATCATTATGTATTTTTAATCACTCAAATGTTTATAAATTTTGCAAACAAAAAATCTAAATATTTTTAAAAATTTTATTTTTCTATTAATGAATTACAATGTTAAATAGAAAGTCAATAATATACTGTATGATGAATTAACATATTAAAGTATAATTTTAAAAGATAAATTAAAACCAAACAAATAACAATCAAAATTTATTATTAGATATTTAATTAAAATAGAACCTTACTCTTAATGACCATAAAAATTATTATTTATGGTATCTAGTAATAAGCATACTAAAACAATTTTGAAAATTTTTATGATTTAGTATTAAATAATAAATAATGTTACAATTTTTGTAACATTAATTAATTATTCGCCTTTAAATTTTATAAAAATACATAAATGATTATTTATTATTATGTGATCATTTAATAATTGAAACTATCTGATATTTAAATAAATAAATAAATATATAATACTTTTAAGTTATTTAATTTTTTATGACTAGCCACTTACTTACACATAATACGTTTGGAATAAACCAAATTATTAGTTAATTTAAAAAAAGTTAATAGAATTACAAATCCAAAATAAACATAAAGGACACTATTTTTATTATTGTTTAAACTAAATAGTATTATTGGGTTTTAATATTCGACTGTCGAAATTGTTTTCCTTAAAAATGTTTGCAATTGGTATACTCACTAGCTCCATACTATTTGGACTGATAGAGAAACTTAAATGACCAAATATTGTATTATTTATGTACCTGATATACTTAACATTAGGTAGATTTTTAGCCAACCAATCGACATCCTAAAAACAATAATATATCTTTATAAAACTGGCATGTCCTATATCAAAAATTAATTCTAATTTATATTATTATAAAAAATTTATTTGTTGGAGAAAATTATAATATGACAGCACATAATTTTTATTTTAATTGCGTCTGTAATTATGTATTTATTACCAATGATTATTTATTGATAAATAAGGTTATTTTTGATAAAAATATACGATCAAAAAATAAAATATTGATTGGCGACTTCATACTTAAAACATAACAACTGTGCCTTCAATTAATACAAAAAATAAACAAATAGAGAAGTTTAAGAAAACACCCTCCTCATATCATAGATATACAGAGTGTTCAATAAGTAAGGAATAAGGTCAATTGTTACAAATAATGAGAACAATAGATACCCGTTTCCTTACTTACTGAACACTTTATATTTACACATCTTCAATAACCTTAAAACGGAATTTTTCATTCATCAAATTTCAGAAACACAGAAATTTGAGTTTGAGAATGTATTCACCAATATTTACACGTTTAAATCATTTAAACAACTTTCTCCATTAAAAAAAATAATTCAAATATTTACATTTTTTGATTTCTAAAAATATTATTTTTAGACAAGTCATAGTACCATAGAAAAAAATTATTACCAAAGGAGGTACTATTGTATCATCTTTTGAATGGAAAATAAAAGTTGGAGAAGTCACATTTAATAAATTATAATCCGGTGCAAATTCTGTGCCATAACGTTTTATATTTTCTAATTTTCCATAATCATAATGAGAAAATCTACCTAATAAATAAATCAATAAATAACAATAATTATTAGTTTTTTATTATAGAATTAATGTTAAAAATAATTTTTTTATTTTGTTGTATTATGTCTAATTGTTTAGACATAAATTGTAAACTAATTTTTATTTATATACGATTTTTATTTATTATAAATTTTTAGATCATCATTTAAATAACTTCTAAATATTAAAATTATAATTTTTAAATGAATCTGTGTCAAAAAGGAAAAAAAAAGATTTACAGTAATATTTGGTCACGAATCCAATTTGTTTTTTTACGAAAATTTATTCAAAATTTTTCTTTTAGAAGAGGAAGTGCTAAATGTAATGTTGACAAATAAAACAAAGCCATTGCAAATAGCAGAGTCAGTAAAAATTGAATTTCTCAGTGTACATTTGGGATTTAGACCAACTGTAATTTCACTACAAAAATAAATTACTAAAATCTTCTAAAAAAGTAATATAATAACGTTAGATAACTCACCTGACAAAATTAGTTGAATGTAATGTTTTAATGTTTTGGTAGATACAGGTTGTGGAAATAATGATAATATATTTGCCACTTTATCCTAAATATAGTAAATACTTTGAAATAATTGGGTAACGTAATTTATGCCAAACTAAAGTGCTTGTTGGAGACATTTTCAGAAAAAAAAATTAGACACATAATAAAATCAATTAGTACGTCTGAGTTATTCATTTAGCCTAAACAATTGAAAAAGAATATCTTATAATATTTTTTAACAAATTATTAATGTTAAGCCACGTATAATACATTTATATTGATTATTAGTTCATACAGTTTCAAAACAATTGAAAATTTTCAACTAATTAATATTATTTAAAATTTTCTATAGTTTTATTGTTAAATTAGCAAAAAATAACCAATTATACAAAGTATAAAATAAAACTGATATATGTTGTAGTTTTTTAGGAACCGGAGACGTTTATCCGAAGTTTAGTAAAATTATAATTACAATAGTTTTTATCTGATATTAATTGCAGTGATCTATCCATAAAACATTTATTATAACTTATAATTTTAACAAACGATAATTTTGAAAATTAATGAAAATTACATATTTAATTAAAATTCATTGAAGAGGTAAGAATATTTTAATTTTTAAAATTTACAGCAGATACATTATTAATTTTTTATATAACAAATTAAAAACATTTTTCAGAGTCCAAATCAATATTGTGATTCTTACTCACGTCTATAATAATAGCTTCATTTTAATTTATTTCAGTAATTACATGCAATTAAAAATCGGAGTTGTTACTCAAATATGCCGATAATTTGTGTAGCCCAGGTAAATATATTTCGGAATCAAAATCCAGATTATTTCCAACGCTAATAGTTTCCTTTCACTGGCGGAATCAAGGTTGGAATAAATCTAGAGGTTTAGAAATCAAGATTTGTCAAAGCAAAGATACTTTTTGTATTTCAATGACTATGTTATTTATGGTCATATATAAGCTGTTTAATGTGTTACATTGCACAATAAATATTTCTAAAGAATCTAATAAATGATCATCATTTGCTCAAGCTCGCAGTTGTATGTGGTGTAGCCCTTATTGTTTATTAAGATAATTTTAACATAAGTACTTTCTTTAATTGAAAAATTGCTTTTTTTTTTCATCATACACCCAAAGAAAAAGCTCAATCAAAATTGAAAGAGAAATTTTATCAAGGGTTTATGATAATGTTTTATTAATACGAACAAAATAACTATTCTTATAAATAATTATTGTTCAAGACAAGAAAAAAAAATATCATATTGATAAATATATCATTGATTCAATAGTAATGATATATTTATCAAATTGAACAATGAATTTATTATATAGATCGAGGTTTTTCTCTGGGTGTACCCATTTTAAATTATTAGCAAAATAAGGTAAATGAAATATTTAGAGTTACATACATTACTCATCGGAATGCTTATACCATGAGCAAAGTCAAAAAACCATTTGCAAGCGTCATGCATAATTCTCTTACGACACATAGTTCCAATCAATTTGTATGTTAAGTCTGGATCCATTGTATAAGGAAAATAATCAAATTGATTTAAAAAAGTCTACAAATACATATTTTTAATTTAATAACCTTTAACATATTATTAAACATTATTAAATTAATAAAAATATATTTTTCATACTAGCAGCCAGTTAATAACTTTTTTTAATTACGGGGAATTACTTTTAAGAGTCTAACTAATTTATCACAAAAACATTGATATCATGTTTTGCTTATCAATTATTGGGATATAGATCTCATTATATGTATGTATGCTAGTATCATAATTAAAAAATTTAAATATTATTTTAAGAACATTTTTATGCCTCTATTAGAGTAGTGGCAAACCTATCTCTCTTTACTTGCATACAAATATACAGGTTGATTGGTTTGTCATAAACCATTCGATTACTTGCAAAATAAATATAATATTGGAAAAAAATGTTTGATTTTTTTTAGTTACACATATTTTATGATGTATCAGTTAATAATTACTTTTTAGAATTATCTTGTATAACTTAAAGTGGTATCAATTTTTTTAATGACAACATACATATTTAGCTAGTTTATAAAATATAAAATAGTGTAATTAAGAAAATGACTGGTTGATAAAAAGTTTTAAATCAGTTTTTTGAAAGTTATTAATAAGTTAAAATAATGGGCGTAGGTACGGAGTTAGTGCTGCTATTTTTATCATTAGTCATTTCCTAATCGTAAGCTTCGTCCCATCTAAATATAAAAATGAGAATAACTTCCAGTGTATTGAACCAGAAATTGTTATCAACCAATAATTTTCTTAATTTTCTTAATTAGCTTAATTAGCTTATTTTCTATTTTATAAACTAGTATGTAAATATGTATATTGCCATTAAAAAAAAATGGAACTAAAAGTAATTAATTTTTTTTTTTTTAATATTTTATATTTTGTATTTATTTTGCGAATAATCGAATAATTCACGATAAACTGATCACTCTGTATTCATAAAGACATGAATATATCTGAAAATATTCTAAATAAGATAAATATTTTGTTGCACCCGACTGTAACTTTTGTAAATACCGCCTGAATATCTAAAATATAAAACTTTACCATAATTAGTGAAGTGTATCTCTTTATTAAAATAAGAGGTGGGCCAACTGATTTTAGTCGTGATGTTGGAGCCATTAATACAAGATTATTAACTTTATTATTGTAATCTGGCCTATCCGATAAACAAACTAAGGATATGGTTGTCCCTAATGAATATCCAACAATGTTTAATTTTGTGTAACCAGTTTTATTCAAAACGAAATCAATAGCTGTCGTAAGATCTGAAATTCCCATTTCGTGCCAACTAAAAAAAAGGTTACGGTAAATAAATAATATTACAAATCTATTTAAAAATCATTAACTTTATTGTAAACAAAAATATATTCAGTGAGACGGAGAAAAATCGAGAGTTTTTGTTAAAATACCCTTTTATACTTAACTGTGAGTTAAAATTTATAAATATTATATTATTTATGTTAGAATAATCTGCTAAATTCATTAGCCTTCAGATTCATTTTATAAAACCAATCCATAGCTATCAAAAACTATTGAAAAAAATTGTTAATAAGCAGCATTAATAACTTATCGATGTTACCTGGTAATCCTAGGCGATTTTTAGCTTCGATACGAAACTGATAAAGTATTAATTTTACTATGATGTTTTTTTTTTTTTGTGTCTGTTACCACTTTTTCTCAGCTCTCACCCAACCGATTTCTTTCAAAGATACATCAAAAGATCACAAATCGTATCTAGTCGAAGACATTACCCTCAAAAATTGAAAAATTTTCCCTCGTTTCCCGTAAATGGGGAAAATCTCCAAAAAAATTACAAATTTAAAAATCGCTAATTTTCGAAATTTTTTCAATTTTTTTTACTTAAAATTGCTATAACTTTTTTAAAAATAACCAAATCAATATAATTTTTTTATATAGATGCATGATATCATTACCTTTCATTTGCTATATTTTTTTTTTATATATGACCCTTTATCTGCCCACAGGGCGGGATTTAAAATGACAACTTTTTCACAAAAAATACATTTTTTCAACTTGACTTTTGAAAATGTTCCTGAAATACTGACTCTTTTATATATATCTTAAATTAAATCTAATGTAATATACTTTATTATGAAAAAAAAAATTTTCTGACTTTATTTTGTCATCACGATGAAAATGGCTACCGTATTTTATTTTTGTGTTAAAATTGCCGATTTTATATTTTACATTTTTAACTTTAAAATGTTATAACTTTTTAAAAAATGTATAGATCAATACAATTTTTTTATAAGAAATAATATTTATATATTTCTTTCATTGGACATACTTTTTTTTTAAATCGGACCATTTCCCTTAATACAGGGGGGTTAAAAACATAAAAATGCATATAGAAAATAGAAATTTTTCAATTTAATTTTTGAAATTGTTCCGGAAATACTGACACTTTTATAAATATCTTAAATTAAAGCTTATTTAATATACTTCTTGGTGAAAATAACTACTGTGTTCTAAAATATGCTATCTTTGTGTTAAAATTCTTGGTTTTATATTTTATTTTATTTTAAAATACCTAAGAAGATATTTTTTTGTGACTATTATTTATTTTCTCTGCTCAAACTTGACCTTATTTTTTCAACGATACGTCAAATGACTACAATTCGTATCTAGTTGAAGATATTACCCTCAAAAATTAAAAAAAAATTCTAATTTACAATTAAACAGTTACTTATCCCACGATCTTATGATATAATGTAATATATAATATTTATATATTTCTTTCATTGGACATACTTTTTTTTTAAATCGGACCATTTCCCTTAATACAGGGGGGTTAAAAACATAAAAATGCATATAGAAAATAGAAATTTTTCAATTTAACTTTTGAAAGTATTCCGGAAAGTCTGACACTTTTATATATATATCTTAAATTGAAGCTAATGTAATATACTTTAATATAAAAAAAAAAAAATTCGGACTTTATTTTGTCATCACGATGAAAATGGCTACCGACTGCTATTTTTGTGTGAAAATCTCGATTTTATTTTTTTAATTTTAAACATTATAATGCTATAACTAATTGAAAAGTGTATGGATCAACACAATTTTTTATGAGAAATAATATTTTTTAATAGTCCCTTTTTCATTCGACATACTTTATCTTAATCAGGATATTAATAAAGAACTAGCAGATCATGTAACTTTTGCAATAATTCACCAACTTTTTAAAATGAACACTATCTAAAGATTTGCATCGAAGCGTTTTTTTTTAATAGCGATTTTAATCACTGTCAAATATCATTATACTTGATCCAACTATTCACGTCACCACTGTGTCGCGACCCTCCTGTACTGGGGTTTTTTTTTATACATGCATAATGTCTTTACCTATCATTTAGTATATATATATTTTATTATAAATTTAACTCTTTACCTGTCCATGGGGAGAGATTCAAAATTATAACTTTTTCCCAAAAAATTAACTTTTTAAAGTTTTCCGGAAATACTAACGCTTTTATATATACCTTAAATTTTAAAGCTTATGTAATATACTTTATTATGAAAAAAAAATTTCGGACTTTATTTTGTCTTCATATTGAAAACTAACATCAAAATTGATAAAAAATACAATTTTTGTAAAAAAATTCTTTTTTATATTTTCAACTTTATAACGCTTTAACTTTTTGAAAAATGTATGGATCATTATAATTTTTTTAAGATAAGGACTATATGATATATAGTCCATATATTATATGGACATACTTTTTTTTTTTAATCGGACCATTTATAAAAGAGGGCTTCAAAATGTAAAAAAAATCTTTTTTATATTTTTAATTTTATAATGCTATAACTTTTTGAAAAATATATAGATCAATTCAATTTAAAACTATTTATATACCTTTTTTATTCGATATAATTTTTTTTTAAATAAAACCATTTCTCTTTATATACATTTATATATTTATTGTATTTATGTATTTATATATTATATATATATTTACATTTATTCATATATTAAACTTATAAATTATAAAACTTGTAATCAGGATATAAATAAAAAATAGGAGATCATGTAGCTTTTGGAAAGATTCATCAATTTTGTAAAATTAAACACTATCTACAGATTTTTTTATGATAAAGATTTTAAACACTGTCAGATATCATTATACTTGACCCAACTATGTCACGTCCCCACTCTACTGGTTTTTATTTTTTATAGTCTTTATTAAAATAATAATCAGCTCAACAATTAAAAAAAAAAAAAGTGAAGTATCACAATAACAATGTTATGTTATAATGGTACAACAAATACGTCAATAATTGTTAGTAAACTCAAAAATAGAGAGAAATTAAACATTATTTATAATTATTAGTAATAGAGATTGTAATGTATAGACTGAAAAATTATTAAATTAAAATTTTTATTTGAAAAAATGTAAGAAGAGAAAAAAAAGTAAATAAGTAGAAAAAAAAATTATAATAAAATAATTAGAAATTGAATGACAATGCCGGAATTCCTCGAGAAAAATATGGTGGAAATTATTATAATTGGAGAACGGTAATTAAGAGTATTAGCTATTGAGAGGAGATTAATCATAGGGTTAACAATCCTACATCGTAAAAAATGTCCTGTTAAAAAATCACCAACAAAGACTCGGACTAGAGATACGGATAACCCAAATAGTGAACGGAAACGGAAGAACAAGGAGATTAAGATCGCGACTTGGAACACCTTAAGCGTATATCGTGCGGGAGCATGTCGACTCTTACAGAAATGTTGTGTCAGTATACATTGTCAATTGCGGCATTATAAGAAATTAGATGGAAAGTAGAGGGACAGATAAAGATTAACGACTACATTATTTACTATAAAGGAACGGAGAATAGACATCATTTTGAAACGGGTTTTTCGGTCCATAAGAGCTGTGAATCTTGTGTACGTGAATTTAATCCAATATCCGAACGAATTTGCACGATACGATTAAGAACTAAACCTAAAGAGATATGCCTAATTAATATACATGCACCAACGGAAAATAGTAATGAAGTAGATAAAAATGAATTTTATGAAGAAGTAAACAGATTTTATTACCTGGAAGCGTAGTAAAAATTGTACTAGGCGACACAAACGTAAAAATAGGTAAAGAACAAATGTTTGTGTCATCGTGGTACCACTACACAAGAAAGGTGACAAACTTAATTGTAATAACTATAGAGAAATATAATTATTGAACACGACATATAAGGTGTTTCAAAGATATTATTAGGAAGATTACAACCTTTTGCAAATGAGTGTGTGGGGGTGTACCAATGTGGGTCCCGGAAAGGAAAAATCAACTATGGATCAGTTATCGGTGATTGGCTAATTTATAGAAAAAAAGTATGAATACAGGCAAAATATGTGGTAGGTATTTGTCGACTTTAAAAAGGCATATGACAGCATTCATCGGGAAAGTCTTTACAATATAATGTACGAATTTGGAATTCAAAAGAAGTTTATTTCCCTAACGAAAGTATGCATGAATGGCACAAAATACTAAGTAAGAGTCGATAATGTACTATCCAAAGAATTTCAAGTGGTAACAGGCTTAAAGCAAGGGGACGCTCTTTCACCGCTACTGTTTAATATAGCACTGGAGAAAGTCATACGAATTATACAAAGGGATAATCATGGTATCGACATCGGAACAAACAAGATTGGTATTTTAGGTTTTGCAGATGATTTGAACATAGTTGATGATAATGGAGAGAGCGTGGCACAGAGCACCGCAGCCCTCATAAACGAAGCAAAAACCATAAGGTTGAATGTAAATGATAATAAAACCAAAGTTATGGAACTATTACCAGAAGACAACCCGGTCGAAAATATAATTATTCAGTAATAATGACTGGTCAATTGAATTAAATAGCCGTATCATCAAGGCGGAAAAGGCATCTTTTTCGTTGGTCAAAAATTTAAAATCTGAACTGTTTCCAGTTCAAAGAAGGACCAAAGTACATATTTATAAAGCGATAATTAGACTGACGCTGACATATGGATGCGAGGTGTGGCCTTTAACAAGCAGAATGGAACAAAAACTGATATCGTTTGAAAATAAAATACTGAGAATCATCTGCGGCCCAATATACGACAATGAACAGGGGTGTTGGCGCAGAAGGATGATTAAAGATACTCTAGAATTGAAAAGAGTATTAAGAATAACCAACTTTGTAAAGGCCCAAATGATACATTGGCTTGGGCACGTGATGAGAAGGTCTAACTCAGAGAACCTTAAAGTGGCGGCTGAATGGAAACCCACAGGAAAAAGGCCAAGAGGACGTCCAAAGTAGCGATGGATAGATGGAATAAAGCAGCATTTAGAGAAACTAGGGATACTAAATTGGAGAAAAAAAATACAAGATCGAGAAGAGTGGAAGGCAGTGGTGGCAAAAACTCTTGAAGGGTTGTATGCCAAGAAGAAGAAGAAGAAGAATAAATTTTATATATTATCACCTCACCTTATATTTTGTCTGACCCAACTCTAATAGAAAGCCCACTAAGATTTTCTTGGTCGCTTACCTATCCAATCAGTCAAAAATATATGTACACAAAATAAATTTTGGAACTATTATTGGGTAATTTTTTTTTTTGAAATTTCAATTTTACTTTTGACAAAATATGTAGTATTACAATATTTTGTCAAATGAATTAATGAAGTCAGTTGGATCTAGAGTTGTAGACAGGTAAAAATATGATTCAATTATAAAATTATTGTTTTAAAATTTACTCATATTTTATAAATAAAACAAAAATGTGTTTAAGGGATAAGTATTTTGAGTTAAGTATTTTTAATATTTTTTAGTTCTAAATATATATATATTTTAAATATGCTTAATTTTTAATATATAAAAAAAGTTAAATCAATAAATAAATTATTGGTTTAGACTAAAATAGTTCATCTTCTCTAAAATCAAATTTAAAATTATAGTTCTGCTATTTAGGTGTATTGAATTCAAACAACTTTAAGTTATATATAATATTTCTATATTATTAATTATAGAAATTTCACCTGAAGTCCCAAGATATTTTATTCATTTTTGGTTTGACTTCATTCTTTGAATAAATGTTTAATGATCTAGATAAACCAAGACCTCTAGCATTAAATAACCATACATCAAATCCCGCATCCGATAAAACAAAACCTAAAATATATATAACTTTCACATAATAAAAGTACATAAAAATACAATTAATTACAAAATAATTGATAGTATATATAATCAGAAACAAAAAAAAAATTATTTCTACTACTAAATTTTTTTTATAAAAAACTTTTATATTAAAAGGATAAATACACAATTTCTTTTTTTAACTTTTAATCTTATGTAGAAGATTTAAAAAAATTTTCAAATATAGTGTTGTTTTGTAAGTTGATTATCTACAATAAATAATAGAGTTTCATCAGCAGTATATGAAATAGGTTTTTTTCTTATAAGATTTTTGAATTGTTATTCTTATTTTGGTGGTAGTAAAAGGAGACGGACATAATCTATTTAATAATCTTATTTACTGACAAAGTAAATACTGAAAAAGTAAAAAACTTTTTTTTGTTACAAATAAAACTTCAGGTGTATCAACAAAAAATTGACTAAGTATTAGTTTAGATTATTTTTTATTGAAAGAAATTTTAAATAATATAATAAACTATTTTGAATAATATGTTGAAAACATTTGATTATGACCACTAACTAGACCCTATACTAGAAACTGCCAAAAAAAATCACTAAGATATATTTAATCCAACTTTTAAAAAAATGTGTATCTAGTAATTTTTGTAGGGTATTTTATAAAAATTCGATGCGCAGCTGAGAATGTATTAATTTTACTATCATGAATTTTTTTTTTATTTATTTATTTTTTTGTGTCTGTGAACGCTCAATCTCAGCTCTCGCTAGACCGATTTTGATGAAAAATATGTCAAAATATCACAAATCGTATCTAGTCGAAGACATTACCCTCAAAAATTGAAAAAAATTCACTTATCATCCGTAAATAGGGGAAATCGCTAACAAAATTACAATTTTATAAAATGGTATTTTTTGACATTTTTTCAATTTTCTTTCTTTAAAACGGCCATAACTTTTTCAAAAATGAATAAATCAATATCATTTTTTTTTTTAGATGTTTGATGTCTATACCTATCATTTGGTATATATTTTTTATAAATTTGACCCTTTACCTGTCCAAGGGGAGAGATTTAAAATTATAACTGTTTTCCAAAAAATTAAGTTTTAAAAGTTTTCCGGAAATACTAACACTTTTATATATATCTTAAATTAAAGTTAATATGATTTACTTTATCATGGAAAAAAAAAATTTCGGACTTTATTTTGTCTTCACGATGAAAATGGCTATCGTATGCTATTTTTGTGTTAAAATTCTCGATTTTATATTTTACATTTTTAACTTTAAAATGTTATAACTTTTTGAAAAGTTATTTTAAGTTATTATAAAGTCATTTCTGAAAAACTATTTAAGGTGCTTACTTTTTTTCCATGAACAAATTTCATAAATAAAATTTTTCTCATGGTTACATTATAATATAAATAATATTATTTATAGTAAAGACCTTGCTCGTGTGATGGTGTCACGTTACCATTATCGTGAGAATTATTTTAATAAAATACAGACAGCACATCCGCTGCTTGAGACTGATGAATTAACAAATAATATTTATTGCCAATTTGGCAATAGTTCTAATTATTATAAAACCCCAAAAGACCTGACCATCGTGGTCAGTCGACTCCAGTGCCTTGTGTCCTTCATCAACCTCAGTACTCGGTTGTCGCTGTCCGGCTTACTGTTTAAAGTAAAGTCTTTGTTTATTCCTTTTTAAACCTATCTACGCTCTTCCACAACATTTCAGAGTACTTGTGTCTTGCACTTCGTCTGCATCTCATACCTTGGTGTTACCCTTATTCCCTTCCTATAACAACAGCCTTTCGACACCCACAGCTAACCCGGAGTGTCAGTCGAGCACGGTGACTGCTGTACGACAACACGCACGTGAATACCTAGACAGCAGGCACCACATGCTCATCTTTATCTTCGTACACATTACCTCTTCATATACACATTCAATATACTTTTGAATAAGAGTGATAAGTAATCATTGCCTTATCTAATTTCTTATCATGGTATTAATGCCAAGTTTGTAATGTATACACATTATCATCATATGTATACACAGTAATCATGAAAAGATAGCGTTTTCTTCTGTCCTTTTCTCAATACGTATTTCAATGTTTAATACCGTAAAATAATACATGAAAATTCAAATTTTCACAAACTTCAAAACGCTACAGAATATTTACTACTGAATATTAATAAGATATTTTTTTACTAAAATTTTTCTTAAATTCTACTCTACAAAATAGCTATCTTAGATTTTTTTTTACATTTTATTTAAAATTTAAAAATAAATAATATTTTTAATAAAATGTAAAAAAATTAATTGTTGAGATATAGCCATGGACCTAACGTATAACTATTATTTAAAAAAAAAATCAGCTAAAAATAATAACTGGATCAAAAGTTATTTAAGTTGTCAGTGAGTGGTGGGCCACCCTGTATAGTAATAATTAAAAATATGAAATAAGTTATTGAAAAATTTAATTTAGATTCACATGAAATAATTTTTGTATTCATTGTAATTGTAGTATAATAACTGTAAAACTATGCTACTATCGCACTATGTTAGGTTTTTTTCTGAATTTAATATACGTAAATTGCTGTATTACATTAAATGATAAAAGTATTGTAAAAACGTCTATCCAACTCAATATATCAAAATAAGTTTTATACATTCATATTCTTACGTAATCATTATCCTTTCAAAATATCTTTTCTTATTTTATTGTTGTTTTGAGCTTCAGCATAAGTTATTTGTCCATTTACATTTATTAACAAGAAGCTAATTATTTACAAAGGTTTTCTAATATTTTAAAATATAAATATGTTCTGGTTGAATTTTATTACTTTATTTGTATTCTGTATATTGTCTACGAATACTTTTTTAATGAAATTTAGGTATTTTTATAAATAAAATTTAATAAACTGAAATTCAAATGTATTATAAATGTATTAAACCTGTAAGAACATATATAAAAATGAATGTTAAAAGAAGAAGAGGTAGAGGAAGACCAAAAAAGACATGGAAGAATATTGATTGCGAATGAGGACTGCTGATGTGTGCCTAGATTATTTGGGAGATAGTGTCAACTGGATGGTTTAGGATAAAGGTGGCCGACCCCAAGTAGTTGGGATTAAGGCAATGAAAAAAACTTAAGTACTAATTTTCTATAGTTCTTTAATTCTTGATGGAATATTACAATTTTCATAGTTTTTATAATGAAGTTTAATATTTTTTCGTTGGTCAACTTCACTTTGTCTTTTATTTCTCCATTTTTTATGTTTTTTATGGTTTATTGCGTTAAATAATTTTAATATTTTTATATTTATTAAAATATTTTAAGTATATTATTCATTTTAAATTATAATAGTTATAAGTAATAAACTCATATTACATAAATATTATATTTTAAGATTAAAAAAAAAAAAATGATTTATCAGAGGTAAATGTGAACTATGAATAATAAACTACTTGGAATAAAAAAAATAATTTAATTTTGTATTTGAAACCTATCATATCAAATTATCATGTCAAACTTGATTCGTCAATAAATACTTTGAAAACATTAGAAATGAATGATTTTAATTTCCTATATGGAGATCGTGGGATAAGTAACTGTTTAATTGTAAATTAGAATTTTTTTTTAATTTTTGAGGGTAATATCTTCAACTAGATACGAATTGTAGTCATTTGACGTATCGTTGAAAAAATAAGGTCAAGTTTGAGCAGAGAAAATAAATAATAGTCACAAAAAAATATCTTCTTAGGTATTTTAAAATAAAATAAAATATAAAATCGGCAATTTTAACACAAAAATAGAATACGGTAGCCATTTTCATCGTGATGACAAAATAAAGTCAGAAAATTTTTTTTTTCATAATAAAGTATATTACATTAGATTTAATTTAAGATATATATAAAAGAGTCAGTATTTCAGGAACATTTTCAAAAGTCAAGTTGAAAAAATGTATTTTTTGTGAAAAAGTTGTCATTTTAAATCCCGCCCTGTGGGCAGATAAAGGGTCATATATAAAAAAAAAATATAGCAAATGAAAGGTAATGATATCATGCATCTATATAAAAAAATTATATTGATTTGGTTATTTTTAAAAAAGTTATAGCAATTTTAAGTAAAAAAAATTTCGAAAATTTCGAAAATTAGCGATTTTTAAATTTGTAATTTTTTTGGAGATTTTCCCCATTTACGGGAAACGAGGGAAAATTTTTCAATTTTTGAGGGTAATGTCTTCGACTAGATACGATTTGTGATCTTTTGATGTATCTTTGAAAGAAATCGGTTGGGTGAGATCTGAGAAAAAGTGGTAACAGACACAAAAAAAAATGAATAAATAAATAAATAAAAACAGATCATATTTAAATGAATACCTTCTCAGTTTCGCATCGAAGCTAAAAAAGAAATTAGAATTTTTTTTTGTTTTAAAAAATAAGTATTTATAAACAATTATATTTTAAAAGACCTATAACTGGTTCTTAACCGAAATTCCCTTATTGAAATATATGTAAAAATCCTTAAGGTTCCTTATGACTCGAAGATCCCAACTGCCAATCTTAATTCGGTTCGTAATAATTTATAACTACCATACAACTATTTACAATTTAATTCGTTATCTATAAGTATATTTTCTATGCACTTGTATATAAAAAAATTTCTTGTACGACTCTATAGTAAGTATTTAATATAGATAAATAAAGATAAATTTACTCACTAAGCGATGTATTTTCGAATGCAAAAACAATAGAACTAACAAAAAGTCCATGGATTAATAAAACAGGTGGACCAGTGATACTACTTTCTCTTTTATTGAATGGTATTCTTTCCAGTCCTAGTAAATACTTGTCAGGAGTCCAAAATTGATAAGTTTCTGCTAAATACCCATACTTTCTAATTTGACTAGTCTAACATAAATATTAATGGAAATATTAGTACTATAAACTAATTTGTAACAAAAAAAAAAATGAATTCAAACAACTGGATTAAAACTATACCTTTAGCCATGTTAAACATTTCAATATTTCAAAAAGTAACTATTTGATTAGTATTCCAAAAACAAATTAAATTTTTTAATTTACTTAAGCGACTACATTTATCTTTAACCTTGTTCGCGCCAAGCGTGAGCGCTGCATTAATAGTGTTTGACTGAATGGGTGAGATCAGGTGATGGTGCTTGTGCGCCATCAACTGTTAGGACGCCTTATCAGCATTCGGTTGTTCGGTCGTTTTTTATTCAAAATGTAATGTAAAATTATACAGTTTAGGTTATGTTGGTTTGTTAGTTAAGGGTTGTTTTTTTTTTGTATTTTTAAAAAAAAACGTTGTTCATGTTTCATGTCCCAATACATTTTCATATCATTATTGTAAATGCATTGAATTGTTTTCTTTTTTTTTTATTGTTTTTTATTAGTTGTAACATTATTATAATAAGAACTGCAGATTTCACTGTTATACAGGGTGGCCCACCACTCACTGACAACTTAAATAACTTTTGATCCAGTTAATATTTTTAGTTGATTTTTTTTTTAAATAATAGTTATACGTTAGGTCCATGGCTATATCTTAACAATTAATTTTTATACATTTTATTAAAAATATTATTTATTTTTAAATTTTAAATAAAATGTAAAAAAAAAATCTAAGATAGCTATTTTGTAGAGTAGAATTTAAGAAAAATTTTAGTAAAAAAATATCTTATTAATATTCNAATCTAAGATAGCTATTTTGTAGAGTAGAATTTAAGAAAAATTTTAGTAAAAAAATATCTTGATAATATTCAGTAGTAAATATTCTGTAGCGTTTTGAAGTTTGTGAATATTTAAATTTTCATGTACTCTTTTACGGTATTAAACATTGAAATACGTATTGAGAAAAGGACAGAAGAAAACGCTAAAAATTGTTAATTAATATTAAATTTGCATTAGTATGATGCATTCGAATTTATCACAGTAAATATTGAGAAGCAATTTTTATTATTAAGTTTGAAAGCATATTTCTTACGACACATTTAATTGATTTCTGACACTTGAAGGTAAATACTTATCAAGTATTACTTATGCTAAGTAAATTAAAGGGTATAAATCAATAGTTGAGATAACAATATTTGATTTTATGGACTTCTTAGTAACTGTAATTTCAAATTATTTTTTACAATAAATAATTTTTTTTTGTTTAAAAATTTTTACTATAGAAATTATGTTATTTATTTATAATGTATTAAAGTTATGAATAGTTAAATTTTATATTGTTGATAAATTATATGAATATAAATTTAAAATAAAATAATAATGAATAATATTCCTTAAAAAAAGAAAAGTTAATTGATAATATTCTTGCATTAGAAGTTTTAATACATCATGTGTACTCATTAACCCACAAATGCCATTATAATAACTATATCAATTACCCCATCAACACTATTATATTAAGTAAGTTTATAATTAAACTTAAAAATTAATATCAAAACATTAAATAATCTGAAAAATATAATATTTTTTAATAAAAACACTTTTTTTATTATTTAAAAGAAGAAAAAGTATTCAAAAAACTTTTTGAACCAATTCATATTTTTAAAGTGAAACTTCTTTATAGAAGGTCCGAAAAAAAAACAGATTATCGAGTGTCACAGTCGGTCACGGTCGGCAGTAAAGTATATTTTATATTATAATTTAGTACTGTATTTTCGAAAATTAAAGTAATTTTAATTAAAATATATTAAATAATTTAATTTCAAACAATTTTGATTGTGCAAAAAAAAATTTTAAAGAACCGCAATAGATGCAATTTTTACATGATATCTTCTTAACGAAAGAAGTTTTACTTCATCCGCACGTATTCGTAACAGGGTCATTCCATGTGAAATCACCTTATGTGTGTGCTGTTATAGTTTAGAAATTTATGAAATTTATATCATAGACTTCTTAAAGGTCATTGACAACAAAAATAATATATTTTTTTTTTTATTATTGTTTTTTTACCAGATAGTGCATTTTTTATAATTAAAAACATGAAAAAACTGCCTATGTTCTGGAGCCTATAAAACTTCACATCCAAATAAGCTATCACTGTGGAACTAGCACTGTTTTACTCATATTAAATAGTACTTCAATTTCATTCTTAAGTTTATAAATTTTGAATTTTTTTGAACATAGAAATTTTGATTTAAATTCTTTAAATTTTGCAGTATTTTAATAGCAAAATTTGAAGAACAAAAAATTTTTTAATTAAAATTTTTTTTTTCTTTTCAGAAACTTTTAGTAATGTTCTTTTAACCCATGTCATATTTGAATCGATTTATAATTTTTTTTGTATCGTTTTACGGTCTTGAACATGCAAGGTTTGCTGAAAATAGCCAACTTTATCATCTCATTACACAAAAGTGACTGAACGAATTTTTTTCAAATTTACATAGTACTTTCCTTTAGGCAATTAAAACGTCTGATGAAAATTTTATGATGGAGAAATAATTTTAACGCTACTTATAGAATTTACAAAATTTACAATTTGCGTATTATGGAAAATCCATAAACAACATAATTTTCAACACTCAATTTTAATTTCTTGTATTTATTCTGTGTTCTGTAGTATATTAAGTTATTGGGACTCATAAAAAAATCCTAGGAGCAATGGCTAAGTTCGGAAAAGCTCCATTACTTTTCTCCATAAAGTTAATTACATCAATAGATATTGTTGATTCTTCGACTACTATGCTGTAGTATATAAATATTTTATACCAAATATATAAAGTCATAAGGATTTCTATTGTACTAATCTCCGAATTTAATGAATTAGTGTGATTTTAATTAGCGGATCATGTGTAGTATATAATATTTCATCTAACGCATCAATAATTTCTTGAATGTGACATGAAACTGTATTGCTTTGATACTATCACACCTTGTTTCTGNACTTTATACCAAATATATAAACTCATAAGGATTTCTATTATACTAATCTTCGAATTTAATGAATTAGTGTGATTTTAATTAACGAATCATGTGTAGTATATAATATTTCATCTAACGCATCAATAATTTCTTGAATGTGACATGAAACTTTATAGCTTTAATACTATCACACCTTGTTTCTGACTATTTTTTTACTGTGCTCTTTTGGTAATATTAAGATAATATAATTTTAACACCACCTATAGAGTTTCAAAATTTATCATTTACATATTATGGAATTGTTTGCATTGTTTTGGTGCACAATTCCAGTAAACTATGTAGTTTTTCGTCTATAATTACTATAATTTGGAGGTGTGTACCTTTTTCCATGAAAATGACTTATACTTTTGAATGAGAGTGATAAGTAATAATTGCCTTATCTAATTTCTTATCATGGTATTAATGCCAAGTTTGTAATGTATACACATTATCATCATATGTATACACAGTAATCATGAAAAGATAGCGTTTTCTTCTGTCCTTTTCTCAATACGTATTTCAATGTTTAATACCGTAAAATAATACATGAAAATTCAAATTTTCACAAACTTCAAAACGCTACAGAATATTTACTACTGAATATTATCAAGATATTTTTTTACTAAAATTTTTCTTAAATTCTACTCTATAAAATAGCTATCTTAGATTTTTTTTTTACATTTTATTTAAAATTTAAAAATAAATAATATTTTTAATAAAATGTAAAAAAATTAATTGTTGAGATATAGCCATGGACCTAACGTATAACTATTATTTAAAAAAAAAATCAGCTAAAAATAATAACTGGATCAAAAGTTATTTAAGTTGTCAGTGAGTGGTGGGCCACCCTGTACATTAGGATTGTAAAAACTACATTTCAGTCAAAGTTAATACTATTATTGATGAATTTAATTACAATGACATTATAGTTTTTTACTATGACTAATTTGTTTTTAGATTAATCCAATTGTAACTATTTTTAATTTCTAGAAAAATTGTTTTAAAATAAATTAAGTGAAATAATAACGCATAACATAAATTGTCTGAAAATTATATTATAAAATCAAAATAATTTTATTTTTAAAATTTAAAAAACAAACCAATTAAAATATTATATCAAGGTATATATATTTTTTAAGATTAATTGGATGGAACAAAAAAGTTCCATTATACATATTAACAAGTTCATTATATTTTTGAAGACTCGTCTTGATGAATAAACTTGAATTAATGATTACTAGTGTGTAACATTTCGTTATTTAGAGGGGATTCAAGGTTTTTTTATGAAAATACGAGAATAACGTATTCTAAATGAACTTATAGTGTACTTGCTCATAAGATTGGTTTCAAATCTGTAGAGGGATTCGAGTAATCTGGATCTTCAAATTTGAAATAAATACCGAAGGTTTAACTTTATTTTAAAAATTATATAAAAATATAATATTATATATTAGATTATCTATAATGCTCCTATGATAAAACTATTATATAATAGAACAATGCCAAAACTCTATTCTGGGTAAATTATTGGCGAAGGTCGGAAAAGTTTTGCCGCTCGCCTGCAAGCGTTTTAAAATTTTGACAGTTTTCGAAAAAAACGTTCGCTGACGACACCGTTTTACGACCTAAGGTTTGAAATTTTCACCAGACCCGCTCAATGACATTTCTGAGACATACAAAAATTAATTCAATCCATTTTTTTTTTTTAAGTCATGTGCGTGGTTTTAATATGGGCATTGACTCATTTCTGCGCATATGTTTACTGTGACCCTTAATTTGTAAAATATGAATTTTTATGACGATTTAATTTTCTGTTCAATTTATTATTAATTTATTGTTATTGTTGTCATATATGAATTGATTGTGTTAGTTATATATATTATATATTTTTTAATGTTATGTATATTATTTTTATATAGTATGTTTAGTTTATTAAGCATACGTTTATTAAATTATTTTCTGTCGATTTTTTTTTAATATGTTTATAATACAAATTTGTTAATATGAGGACAGCTGATGTAAGCGTTGATGATGTGAGAGATCGTGTCAATTGGAAGTTTAGAATAAGGCCAACCCCAAGTAGTTGGGATTGAGGCGAGGAAGAAAAATAAGAATAAGACAAATTTGTTGATATATTTAATCATGTTTATTGTTATATTTATCTTTTGTTTGAATTATTGCTTTAAAATTGGCTTACTGTAGTTTTAGCTTCGATGCGAAGCGGAGAAGGTATTAATTTTACTATGATGTTTTTTTTTTTTATGTCTGTTGCCACTTTTTCTCAGCTCTCACTGGATCGATTTCTTTCAAAAATACGTCAAAAGATCACAAATCGTATCTAGTTGAAGACATTACCCTTAAAAATTGAAAAAAATTCCCTCGTTCCCCGCAAATGGGGGAAATATCCAAAAAAATTACAAATTTAAAAATCGCTAATTTTCGAAATTTTTTCACTTTTTTTTNAAATTTAAAAATCGCTAACTTTCGAAATTTTTTCACTTTTTTTCCTTAAAACTTCCATAACTTTTTAAAAAATCAACAAATCTACAAAAAAATTTTTTATACTAAAACCTTAGATATTTCCCTTTCATTTGATATCATTTTTTTGAAAATCTATCATTAACCTGCTCAATGGGGGGGGATTTAAAATAGCAACTTTTTTACAAAAACTAACTTTTTCAACTTAATTTTTGAAAATGTTCCGGAAATACTGCGTCCTTTAAACATATATAAAATTAAAGCTTATTTTATGTACTACAAAATGAAAAAAAAAAATTGTCCCTACGACCTATCTTCTATACGCAAATGGCTGTCGTATTAAAAAATATGCTATTTTTGTATTAAAATTATGGGTTTTATATTTTATTTTAATAGAACTTGATGTTGATTTTGCAATTATCCATCAATTTTTTAAAATTAAACACTATCTACAGATTTGCATCGAAGCGTTTCTTATGATAGTGATTTTAATCACTGTCAGATNAAACACTATCTACAGATTTGTATCGAAGCGTTTCTTATGATAGTGATTTTAATCACTGTCAGATTNCGTTTCTTATGATAGTGATTTTAATCACTTTCAGATTAAATCTATACTGGACCAAACTATGTAATGTCTCCAATATGCCGCGACCCCACTGTGCTACCGTTTTTTTTTACTTTGAACTATGTTTTATCCACACAGATTTTATATTAGGATACTATTTTGCATTTGTGAATAGCATTATATTTTGTATATTTTATCAAGAAATGTTATATATACATTTCAGGGTGGTAATATAAGTATAGGTGTTTTTACATACATCATCAGAATAGTACAGTATTAATAATCTTATTAATTCATATATGATGTATTAGTCTATGAGTTTATCGTAAAAATTGGTATCCTTCTATACTGTCCAATGTCAAATAACAGTAACTAATATGATTATTAAAATTAAATTTTTTACATAGTCTTAGGTAATATAACATGTCGAATTTTTTTGTAATTATTCTATAATATAAATACAATTATTATAATTAGAATATTAATAATTATTGTATATACCAGGGCGTATTTAAGGAGGACTTGGGCGATTTAAGGAGATCCATTGAACCAGCGCTATCAATAATTTTTTATGCAACTTCTAAGAAATAAGGACCTAATGACCTTTTTTTTGATCATCACTTTGATTTTTAGCAAAAAAAAATTAAACACCCTCCTAAAATAATTTCTGACTACACTCAAGGGGAATCCCTTATTAAGGTATTGAGGTATATAAAGAGGCTTATGTGCCGAAGGCTTGTGAGGCACGTATGGCCCCAGTTAGGCCAAACTTAGTATATGAATATTATTCTTATTTTATTATGTAAAATAAAATTTATTTATAATACAATAATTACATTTCTAACTGTAATTTTTTTAATAATAATTCGTAATTAGAATTTATTATTTTTGAAAATAACACATTATAAATTGCTTTCTATCCTACACGACGCCTATAACTATTGTTAATAGGTAATATTTGTCTTACATAAGATTTTGAGATAACTGTAAAGTTGATAATATTTCAAAACTAGTAAAAATCATAATTAATTAAAGTGAAATATTAGCAATATTTAAGTCTTAATAAAAAATAAAATTTATTATACGATAAAAAGCAACAAAAATAAATTATTCCTATGCTTATTATGTAATACTGTACTATAATTGGTACTCACGGTGTCAGCAGAGTAAACAAAATTTGTATTACTCGTTAGCATTAAAACATTAAATGTTAAAAGATACAACAGAATATTTGAAAAGTGCTGCATTATACTATTTTAAAGTAAATTATTAATAATTTGTTGATAATAAGTAATGTAGTTAAAGAAGTATTTTTATTTTCAAGTAAGATTATGCATAAAAATAAACCATTTATAAGAAAAATAAATATATATATATATTCTTTATTAGATTTATAGATAATAAGAGTCATTATGAATAAAATATACTTTTAAGTAGACATACCTATACGCAGTGACATACATAGAGGGGCTAATAGGACTATAACTCCTTCCATTGGTCATGTTACTTATACTTATCATAAAGTGATTTTGACGCTAGTAAGATTAGGTGATAAAAAATAAGAAAATTAATTGATAGTATTAGAAGGCAAGTTATAATTTATTGACATTCAAAAAAGACAAGGCCAAAGAAAAAATAATTTAGTTCATTAATTATATGTATTTAACAACTTCAATGTAATACAATTATATCACATTATATTGCAAAATCATGATAAGCAAATTTAAGTTAATAATTGCATGACTTTTATTTTACTAATGAGAGAATGTTCAGTGTATACACATATTGAATCAAGCACAAGTACAGAATTTTATATTAGAAGATTATCAAGTTCAAATTTTTATAACACCCACCAACAACGGTGTGTCTATACATACAGGGGTGATCCTTAGTGGAAAATCTTCAAAAATATTAGAGCTAATCATTATTTTATTTTATTAATTAAAGTGAATCTTTGGTGAACAACTTTATACGAAAAATTAATTTCTGTCATAATTCTTACTCTAAACAAAGTCAAATATATTAAGTCACCAGAGGCATATTCAGAATTTTTCCGGCATGCGTTGGTTAAAGAAATATAACAAAATAAATTGTTTTTAATTTTGAGTGATTTTTAATATGCATAATTATAATTAACGGGAAACCCAGAGTAAAAAGTTAAGTATTGAAACCTTAAGAGAAAATATTTGCAATACCATTTGAAAAGGATAGAAAACATTACTCTACTCTCCCATTTGCAATGAACTGTAGTAGACCATTAATATTTACTATAAGCCAGTTTGATATTAAATGTACATTAATTTAAATAAAAATATGTTTTTTAATTATCTTTATAAATAAAATAATTGTATAATGAAATAACTTTAGAAGTTATCTTAAGACTTGGTGATATGATACCGTGCATTTGAGAAAAGAACAACAGTATTAAAATGAGTGTAATTAGTGTGGTCAGAATATACAGTAACTTTAAGGATATTTTATAAAAACGTTTATAATTTAAAATTAAGCTATACTAGCAAAAAAATGTAATTGACCAAAAGTATTCAATATAAAATGATAAACACGACGATCTAATTAAAATTAATTTTTTAAATCTATCATGTTTATTATTTTATTTTGAACAAAAGCTTAATGAACAAAAATTTGAAATTATTCTTAGATTTATCTTAAGTTTTAGAAAATATTTTTATACTACGCATGTATCACAGAAGTCAGGCGAATTTCCTTTGCTACACTCATTCTCTACTTAATTTTGTAGTCTACCGTCAAACACTCTGATCCATACATTAGTTGTTATCACTATATTCCAAAGACGCAATAAATGTTTTGAACTTCGGGGTGCTTAAGTTCTAAAGACCAAAGCATTATTTTTCATTTGAAATAGTGTATCCATCCTCTTTTTATCTATTTATAAATAAGCAATTATGTATAACATTATATACAAACATTTTTTTCCTGACGCTTAATATCTCAAATATAATAGTTCAAACCAAAATACTTTACCATTCTTAAATGGTAAAATGCACTTAATATGCCAATGATATGCACACTCACCAAGTAATTATTCATACAATATTAGAAATAATTAAATTTTTCTTTAGAAAATTTTAATGGTGAATGGTGAAATATTCTTGAAATTGCTAAGTAGCCAAAGCACTCCTCTTTTTTGGCTATTTTACAATATTATAGAACATACCTTTTGGCCTCATTGGGATTCTCTTATCAAATAAAACACCAAGTGCTTCTCACTATTTCATTACAGACTAGAGTAGTTTTAGATGAATATTAAACATTTAATATTAAAAACTCTTCAAATTTATCAATAGGCAATGTCTATAACTTCCGAATAATTGGTACAAAAGTTTTAATTGACATTAATTTTCTTGAGAATCTAAATTCTAAATCTAAATTTTTAGATCATTTTCTAACATTTAATCTATTAAAATATTAATGTTCACATTAAAGAATAAAGTTTCTATCCTCACAAGGAATATAGTATAAATGTAAACATACAAATTATTTAACCACTTATAAATCAATAAATAAATAATACTAAACCAAACCAAAAAAAAAATTTAATTTTTCAAAATTATTATATTAAGTCAAATTTAGCGATCAACGATAAATCATCATCATGTATACAAAGTGATTCTTTAACTACATCTCACATAATATCTTTGAAAATATTAGAGCTAATCATTATTTTATTTTTTTAACAATTATGGTTATTTGTTAAATAGCTCTACACAAAAATTCTGGTACCATTTCTTATACTACAACTTTCGATTTTCAAATGGAAACTCAACCTTTTTTTTATATTATCATATTTACTTAATAGAAAAAATATATTTCGTTTAAAAAAATTATTATTATCAATTTGTGAGCCAAATACTGAAGCTGAATAGTATTTTAAAATAAAGTCTATCTAAAAAGTATTTTCGGCAAGTTTATTACAAGTAAGTAATAGAAGCAAATTTACTTATAATTTTCAGTATAATTCAATTAATAAATAAATTTCAAAACATGTTCACAGATACTTGTTAAAACATAGATTTCTTCATTGTCATCCAAAAAAGGAACAAAAATCATTAATGCTTGCATGTGCATAATAAATAATACACAGATAATTACACAATAATATACATTAAATTGAAATGGGAATGTTCTTTGAAAAATACACAAACTAATAATATAAATCCCAATGGAAATAATGTACACAAGGCCGATAATAATTTTGGTCATTATTCATAAATACTATGTAAAGAAAAAGAGAACATTTATCATATTTAACATAATTATTATTCCTTATATTACATTTCTTGTAAATCTTATAAAAAGTTAATTTTAAAATTTAGTTGTTTAACTAAAGTTGATATTATATTATTATAGTTATTATAAGGTACTATCGTTACACTAAATTAACGTACAATTATTTTTCTAAAACAAGGTACTAATACTGTAAATTAGTATTCTTAATTTCAAGGGCTTCCGTAATACGTTGAAATTATATATATTTTATATTTTATTTTTAAAAAATAAAATGTATTACCTAATAGTAATATTTTTCGTTTTAGCGGGGTGATTAACTCTCTTATCATCTCAAAACTTTAACACCAGTACAACACATTACTAAGTTTTCAAGTTAATTAATAAAGATTTCTATTGTCTATGTATTAAGGTAAAGGATACATACAGGAGTTATAGAGACATAAAGCTTATAAGTCATAGTATGAAGATTTGGGAAAAGGTAATAGATAAGAAAAGAGAAATGAGACATCGGTATCTAAAAACCAGTTTCGATTTATGCCTGGTAAGTCAACAATGGAGCCATGATGTTATGGAAGACAACTAATAGAGAATATATGGGAAAAAGAAAAAAAAATTAAATAAGTTTAACTTTTTATGTCTTATGAATTTTATTCTATGTCAATTAAATTTATATTATAATAATTAAATTTAAATTCATGAAAGTCAGTGTATTTCCCTTGTAAAATATTTTTAAATAAAATAAAATACAAAACACAGAATTTTAACACAAAAATAGCATATTTTTCACCAAGTAGAAAATATATACTTCGATTTTTTTTTCATAGTAAAGTATGTAATATAAGCTTTAATTTAAGATTAAACAAAAGTGTCAATATTCTGGAATATTTTCAAAAATTTAATTGAAAAAGCTTTACTTGTATGCAAAAATTGCTTTTTTTAATCCTCCCCTGTGAGTAGGTTAAGTGTTAGTTAATAAAAAAATTATATTAAATAAAATGAAAATATCTAAGGTTTCAATTAAAAAAAAATTATGTTGATTTGTTAATCTTTGAAAAAGTTATGGCAGTTTTAAGAAAAAAATGACGAACTTTACCAATTTTAAAAATTGTAATTTTTTTAAAAATTTCCCCCATTTACGGGGAACAAGGGAATTTTTTTCAATTTTTAAGGATAATGTTTTCAACTAGATACGATTTGTGACCTTTTGACATATTGTTCATCAAAATTGGTCTAGTGAGAGCTAAGAAAAAGTGGCAACAGACACAAAAAAAAAACACATCATGGCTGTGTATGAAATTTGTAGATTTGGAAAAAGTGTATATTAGAGTACCGAAAAAATGTTTAAGGTAGGCATTAATTAGAAAAGAAGTCCCAAAAAGAGGTTCATTAATATAATAGAGGATTTGTTTAATACACTCGTACTCGGGTAAAAACGGTATTGTAAAAATTATTGAGCTTGATGCATGGTTCCAGAAGGGTGTATTTTTAATTTTTTATCTGAGTCATAATTTAAAAAAATTATAGATAACTCTAGCATTCTTTATAATCGTCTATAAAATAACCGATTCTCAACATTTCCCGAGAAAACTGGAGAATATCATTTTGAAAATTTTCAAGCATTATTCTACGTCATTTATTTTTATAGGTCGTATTAGAAATATCAATGTTATTCCAATTTTTTTAAAGTTTTTTAACATGGGAATATAATGTTACCCGAGGTAGTTTTGTTTCGAAAACATCGCCTAAAATCAGTTCATAGATGTGGTTTCATAAAACCAATGAATCTTTCTCTAATTTTTGCTCTAGTAAATTTTACTAGAGTAAAAAAAGAACACTAACCTTTTAAACGTTCTATATTAGATGCGATAGTATCGCAACATATAGCATGGACTATATTTAATAAGTCCCAATCGTCTAACGCACAATAAACATCATTAGCTTATTCAAATTCCGTCGACTTTTTTAGTCGGTATACCGATTAATAAATAGAGATTTTTACTTGTTAACACAATTGGTGATCTATCAATGCCCGAGTCTCTTACATCTAAAGTTGATAAAATCTCTCCATTCCAATGCACAGTC